CGAATCAATAGATTCATTTCGTGACTATAACACGAAATGCCGTGAGACTGTGTTGTATATTTATTGTATTTCAATTCACCCTCTTAAATCTCCTGGGACAGATTTCCGTGCAATAATAAGACAACACCAACCACACGACATATAGAATAAAAACAAACCACCTGCAGTAAAAAAAAACAAGATGTCTAACCTCAGTGACGTGTTCAAAACCCACCCTGTTGTAAAACATTCATCCTCAATCCTCTCCCATGATTTATCACCACTATAAGATGTTAGATATCAGCACTCAGTCATATATCTACGGGATGTCGGAGCCCTGAGGCAAAATAGATAGAGCTCAGCCTATGAATCAAATCTAACTTGTCTGGGTTTATTATGCGATGGCTGCTGAAAGCCAGCAATAATGAAAAGACCCAGCAGCACAGCATCAGAGTACAATGTCTCCATGTATAGGAGATAATGACACTGTCACATATCTACATCCATTAGTTACTGTTACACGTCTTAATTTATACAATTTTAGAGCGACAGAATCCTGACAACCTGCTGCGAATGAGCTTATTGTTTATCAGATTGATGTTTCTCTGTTTCACAAAACTTGCTGAAAGTCCTTATATTGCTAACAAATCATGACCTTGCATCTAGAGAGTTAACTACATATTAGGATTCAGGACGCTGCCAAACCTTTGCAAACAGAATTGAGATGCTGAACAGAATTGTAAGCCATCTATCAAAAAAGCTAGCTGGCTAATGTTAGCTATCTTATTTACAAGTTATTTTAAGTTAGCGATCTACTTTACAAGTTAGCTTAAGTTAGCTACATACTTTACAAGTAAGCTTAAGTTAGCTACATACTTTACAAGTAAGCTTAAGTTAGCTACATACTTTACAAGTAAGCTTAAGTGAGCGATCTACTTTACAAGTTAGCTTGAGTTAGCTACATACTTTACAAGTAAGCTTAAGTTAGCTACCTACTTTACAAGTTAGCTACCTACTTTACAAGTTAGCTTAACTTAGTTACATACTTTACAAGTAAGCTTAAGTTAGCTACCTACTTTACAAGTTAGCTTCCTACTTTACAAGTTAGCCTGAGTTAGCTACCCACTTTACAAGTTAGCTTCCTACTTTACAAGTTAGCCTGAGTTAGCTACCCACTTTACAAGTTAGCTTCCTACTTTACAAGTTAGCTTAAGTTAGCTACCTACTTTACAAGTTAGTTTAACTTAGCTACATACTTTACAAGTTAGCTTAACTACATACTTTACAAGTAAGCTTAAATTAGCTACCTACTACAAGTTAGCTTCCTACTTTACAAGTTAGCTTAAGTTAGCTTCCTACTTTACAAGTTAGCTTAAGATAGCTTCCTACTTTACAAGTTAGCTTAAGATAGCTTCCTACTTTACAAGTTAGCTTAAGTTAGCTTCCTACTTTACAAGTTAGCTTCCTACTTTACAAATTAGCTTAATAGCTACCTATTTTACAAGTTAGCTTAAGTTAGCTACCTATCTAACAAGCTCGCTAGCCCACTCCCTACTTAGTCACAGTCGTATTAAAGGTATCTCAGTCTTGCTATAATCTATATACCATCAATGTTTACAGTAAATAAGCAAATGCTACACAAGCCTCTGCTAATTAACACGATCAATATTTGTTTTCTTTTTCATGCAGACTCACTTTTGAGAAAACTCTGATATCGAGAGACTTCTGAATGCAGTATTAGAACATGCCTAAAACCCAGGAGGTTGTTGAATTCATATTTATTCCATTAAATCTCCAAACGTGACCTTGTGAAACTGCCTGTCGAGTTAAACTACGTACGGGAGTTATTGGGATTCAGGGCGCTGCCAACCCTTTGCAAACAGAAAAGAGATGAACAGCATTTTAACACCAAGCCTCGTAGCAATGCTGGAGTGTTAAAGCAAAACAAAATCAATTCTTGCTCATTTTCCATCGGCAGGTTTCTCTTCAGTAGTCAATGAATGCATTATTCAAATGACACCCTCCTAACTTAAGTGTATGGGCATTAACCTCCCTACACTCTTATCATAAAGCCTGGTGGAATAGACGCCAATCCTCAATTGAATTAATCATTTTTCCCCTCTTTGATTAGAAGAAAGAAATATTTGACCGCCCTCCAGGCTGTATTTTACGACATAATTAAACAGTGTTGTTAAGTTTGTCCAACACCTCCCACTGGTAGCAATTCAAACCCTTTGGCTAATTCTCAAGTAGTGAATTATGCCTCACTTCAGGCTGTATATTGAGTCACCGCAGCAGAAAAAGCAAAGTACAACATGTGAAAGCGTCCGTGACCTCGACTGTCTGATAGAGTTGGACATTATGAAGAGATCAAGGTGACCAAACAGCATGTCTTAGTATTTATCTGCTGTTAACATCATCATGTAAAAGGTGATGTTAGGGTGAATGTAAAACATGTGAGGCAGTGTTTTTCCAGTTTAGCACTAGCAGCATTGTGAAAACGACATTTCATTTGGGATTATTTACAGCTACAGTGCGCTTATGTAATGTTTTTACAGCTTCCATCCTCTTGTTAGTGGCTGCAGGATGAGATACTGGCCCTACATCTCATATTAGCACATTTTAATAACTCTCTAGTGTCTCTTGGCTCTGCTATGACAAACTATCAAAGGTACCGAAGCACAACGGCTGCTATAACTCCAGACTAAAGCTCATGTTGACTTAAAATGCAAAATAACTCTCACTGCAAGAAGGGAAGACAAAGGTTTACAGAGTTGAAATGTATAACAAAAGAGACCCAAATAAATTACCTGTCAGTGTGCAATTTAGCTAGAAAACTTTAGCTATATATGTATCAAGCTAACGAGCAAACGTTATCCATCTACTGTACTTTACTTGTTAGCGAGCTTACGTTAGCTACCTATCTAAAAAGCTAGGTAATGAATGTTAGCTAAGGTAGTATTTTAGATTAGCATAAGATAAATAACCTACTTAACTGATCTACAAAAGGCAGAGAACAAGAGGAGCAGTTCAAATGTTTTCATATATTCAGGCTACAGATGATATGCTTTTGTTATACCTTCATTTTAGGCCTATGAGTTTCTTAATTGACATGTAAGAAACTGTAAGCATCTCAGCTTTGCTAGTGTCTATAGGCTACCATACATTTTTACAGTAAATGTAAAGGAATTATACATAGATTTAAAGATGTAAGGGTAGATAAGGCCTATATCAACAGGTATCTCATGCTAATTGTCTGCCTGTTCATCTATTTCAACCAGTTCCTTAAGAAAAATATCAATTCAAACATAGTTTATTGTTATAAAAATGAGTAATTTAAAGTAGCCTATGTGACTTTAAGTCATTTAATTCCACTCTAGTCAACAAAAACTGAGATAGCATTAGTGTGCTAAGCTAGTAGAAGGCTTTTCATCCCTATTATGATGGTTTTTTATGGTATATGTTTGGTAATATTGAAGCAGGACAGGATATCAGAGCTTGAAATACTTCTTATATAATATCTAATATTACCACCGATTCACACTTACACAAGACAAGACGTACTAAAAAAGTTGGTGAATTGTTCAGGTTAACATCCACCTTTCTAGTTTTATTCACAGGGCCATCTTCACACCACTGATCACATTTTAAAGCACTTTAATTTAATAATCAGAGCAGCTGCAGACTCCTCCCTCCCCGTCTGGCTCGTGTTTTCTCAGACAGACAGGACATAAACACCCACACACAGAAACACCCATCCCTGCTTTCATTATTTCCAGCAAACCAGCACACCTTGATCCTAAGCGTGGAATAACAAAGCGCAGTGGGACTCATTAAAAACAATAAGCACCCTCCAAGCACCCAGAAAACCCTCAGAAAGAAAAGACATGCTGTGAATTCAATAAGGGAAATTCACCTGGGGATTAAACACTGACTCATTCACAAGTATTGTACATTAACAGGGAAATAAAAACCCTCTTTTTTATAGTATAGCTCACACATTATACGTAAAAAAGTGCTTCTAAATATAAATATGATGCCGGTACGTGTATGAATCATCACAGAGGAGCCTATATCCACCGCTCGTTATTACATTAAGTTAATAGGTGCAAATTGAAGCTCACACACCTGAAACGGTTAAATGAGACCCTCTAATATTATATCCGAAGGACACAATTACCTCGATTGCTTCTCTCTGATATAATATGTACTTTGGCCACGTGCCACACTTTTTCAAAATCACATTTTGAGTCAAGAACAAACCAAGGGTAATGAAAATACAACCGGGCCAAGTGAGGAGGCAAATAGGATATTATTAAGTATTGAAAATGGATTTAAAATGACATGCATGCTGCTAAGGGCCAGTTTTTATGTGCATACAAGCCTTAGATAGTTGGGTGTCATTTAGCCTGGAAAAGTTCTACAGCAGTAAGAATAAATAGCATTTTTCATCAGGAAAGTAATAAATTAAGGTCTAAGAGATTAAATGATGGCATTAGGCTTTATGGATTATGTAATTTATCCATCTTTTTATCCAAAGAGCTGCACTATAGGACAAGTTTTGGCAAAAGCAACAACAAATGGACGTGCACTTGCATTAAAAATCAATATATAACATACTTTTGGATTTAAAATGGGCTATACAAGCCTTTAATCCTATGAATTGAAGGACAATATGAGAGTTATGTTGTAATTAAATCTCATTATTGACTGTAAGGTATTTTTTATTAGCAGTTAGGATCAATACAATCAGGAGAGTATTGAATTAAGTCTAAGAGAAATGCATTAGGCCTTATGGATTATGTAATTTATCAATTTGCTTATCCAAACAGATGCACCAAACACACGTTTTGGCAAAAGAAATAAGCAAGGGACGTGCTCATGCAATATTATATAAAATAACTTTTGCATTGTTTGTTTCTGAGACAGCTGGATTCAGCACAACGTACAGAGTCTATACTAAGCTGCTTAATTGATAAAATAGGGGATATATTTAGACTAAAACTGGTTTAATTGCTTACCGAATTTCCTGTCAGCCAGGGTAGGTGAAGAGAGGCTGAGAGCCAGAAAAGAGAGCAGGAGAACGGGAGAGGAAAGTGAATCCATTCCTGAAGAAGATCCAGAGATCCGACCGCTAAACCTGCATGATGGAGGCCGACTCAGGTGAGCTCTGCTGGGGGAGAAACCGGCACTACAGAGGCATGGTTCTTCTGGAGGAAGAAGAAGGCGGAGAAGGGGAAATAAAGATGGCTAAAATGTGCAAAACACACACAGACAGTACAGGCGTTGTTTTTTCAGCACCACAAACAGCGACCAGCCGCACGAGGAGCCCCTCCTCAGCGATGACGTCAAACACACATGGTGATGCGTTCAGGGACACAACGACTGCACAGAAGACACTTGAAAAAAAAACAGGACAAAATAGAGCAAGTTCACATTCATTTTCCTTAGAGCAAACTAGATATGCTACTCTTAGAAAGTAAGTGAGAAAAATGTGCTATAGAAATATTTAACATCTTAGTACACATTTATATAAAAATACATATTATAGTCATTTTGTGGGGGTTTATTATTATTACAGGTGTTACCCACAGACTATAGGTGTTGTTAAAAGGCCTCAAACTTGACAAATATGTTTTAAATCAATTAAACAAGGGTCAAAATATACGTCCAAAAAAAAGTATGCTACAGTTAAATACATTACAATTATGAGAAACACATGATAATACATGGAAATGTATACAATGTCAGTACACATTTAATTAAAATAACATATTATCGTCATTTTGTGGGAATTTACTATTAATATAAGGATTTATTTTAAGTAGAAGCCGACTGCAGGTGTTGATACCAAGCCTAACACTTACCAAATATGTACAAATTGAAATACTGGACCAACATTTTGCAAAACATACTACAGGAAGTCCTAATAATTGACAGACCTTTAGAAATAAATAATGAATCTGATTTCTGACGTCAAACACACGACACAGTGATGCGTTCAGAGACGCATGGAAGAGGGATGGAGGGATGCACAGAGCCTTGAAGGCAACACAAGGGAAAAATACAGCAAGTTCACATTGATTATCTTTCATGTTCAGTAAATATTTAAATACAAATGTTTTAAAATTATAGTCCTTATGTAGGGATGTTTAGCTTACTAGTGTTACCCACAGACTGTAGGTGTTGAAACAAAGCATTAGACATCCTCAACATATGTAAACATTTAAAACATATCACTTCAGGAAGGTCTGATTCATTGAAAGGCCTTATATAATCTGATTTGAAAGATGCATGGTGACGCGTTTATCGCTGCACAGAAGCCATGAAGGCAACACGGGAACAACACAAGACTGTGTTGTTACCAAGCATAACACTTACATATGTAGAACATTAAAATGGATTGATTGACAGACCTTAATACATTTGTTCTGACGTCAAACACACGGTGAGAAGAGACGATGCGTTCAGGGAACAGACTGTTAGACTGAATTATTGGAAAGCCAAAGAAATGTAAAATATCTGTACAATTTTATATAAAACAATTTTACACCAAGCCTGTAACGTGACAAATACGAACAAATTAAAGAATAACGTTCAACATAGTGCACAATAAACATCTACTACATGCTTTAATGTTTAAAAAAGGTCTTTATTTTGATATTTTATGGGAATATTTTTTCCCCATTTTTTTCATAGGCTATAAACAGAGGTGGTATAAGTATAGATCTTGTACTTGATTAAAAGTAGAAGTACTCAGATCTTGTACTAGAGTAAAACAGAAGTACTCAGATATTGCACTTGAGTCGAAGTACTCAGATTTTGTACTTGAGTAAAAGTAGAAGTACTCAGATCTGGTACTTGAATAAAAGTAGAAGTACTCAGATATTGTACTTGAGTAAAAGTAGAAGTACTCAGATCTTGTACTCGAGTAAAAGTAGAAGTACTCAGATCTTGTACTTGAGTAAAAGTAGAAGTACTCAGATCTTGTACCAGAGTGTAGGAATACGCTGTTACAGTAAAAGTCCTGCATTCAAAATGTTCCTCAAGTAAAAGTAGAAAAGTATTCTCATCAAAATATAGTGAAAGTAGCGACAGTAAAAGTAGTCATTGTGCAGATTGGTCCATTTCAGAATAATATATATGATATGTTTTATAATGATTGATCATGAAAGTGTTCTCAAAGCTGGTAAAGGTGCAGCTAGTTTGAATGACTTTGTATACTGCAGGGTAGCTTGTGAATTTACTCCAGGTGGAACTAAAGTCTGATTTAACACTTGATTATATTTCACATCATTCATCCAGATCTGTGAAGTAACTAAAGGTATAAATACATGTAGGGGAGTAAAAGTACACCATTTACCTCTGAACTGTAGTGGAGTAGAAGTACAAAGTAGCAAAACATTGAAATACTTAAGAACAAGTATCTCAAAATTGTACCAAAGTATAGTACTTGTTGAGTTTATGAACTTAGTTACTTTACACCACTGGCTATAAAGATAGAAAGACTAAGCCTTGCACAGAGGCATGAAAATACATTTTCAAAATGCTCAACAGTGCTGCCAAAATTATAAACTGACTGCTACACAATTAAAATAAATGCTTTTATATATTTCTATTAGATGTGACTCTTTGGCGTTTCTGTTATTAACGGCTTCAGTTGTTCTGACTGCTAACATCCTGTTATTGCTCATTTTAAAGCCGATATTCCTCGTCACCTTTTTCATACCTGATGAGTTTGCATCCCTGATATATATATAAATATCTGTATATAGCCTGTCTTGTATATTTATACACACAAATGAAAAACCTTTGTTGTCAAAAAACAAATAACAAGTTGTATTGTCGTGTTTATTTTATGCTTATCCACATTTTGATTTCAGAGCACAGGACAGGAGAAGGCACAACATAAAGCTCAACAGTGAACAAATGCTGAACAAAACCATCTAGTTCTCATATTTATTCAGCTGAAAAAGTCAAAGCTCTTCGAAAATGTAATAAAAAAATATATTGCACATGGTTGGTATTTAACAACAAGGGGTGTTATAGTCTGTGTTGTAGTGTGTGATACCTTTCCTTCAAGTATTATACGTGGATATCACTAGATCCTGTTATCAGCGTAATATAAAAAAAATATATATATAAAAAACGGCCGCCTCGTTAATATAAAATCCATCATAACAATCCAGTACCATGCTGTCATGAACGCGCGGTGCTGTAACGTGTACACGAGTGACGTGCTTGATGTGAACGAGCCTTTTGGGGGCCGTGGTTAAAGTTGTGCATGGGGGTCGATGGATCTGGGATGATGGGGGTCGATGGATCTGGGATGATGGGAGTTATGGCAGAGTGCTTCGCCTTGCCCAAAGCCAGGTGTTTGATGAAGTCTGCTCTTCGCATCAGCATTGATTGGCAGTAGAAGCAGTGGAAATGCCAGTCCGGTCGGCAATTTAATGCACATCTGTGAATGGTATACCCTTAAACATAAGAACATAGAATTGTGGTGTTATTATTTTATGATCATATTATTTTAAAATGTAAATTATAAATACCAAAAATCTGAATCTAGTAACTGGTCACCACAAACAAATCAGAGGGACTTGTTTTGATGTATTGCTCAAATGGAACTGATCACAACATTCAGGCTGCTTTTAAATGCAGACAACACACGAGAGAATGTTTACAAACGTTACCTTCATGGAGAACTGCACGGTTGAAGTGGCTCTCTAAATGGGCTTTGACCTTGCTCAGTTTGGCTGGCTGGAACACATCGGAGGCGCAGAACGGGCAGTGAAAGTCTTCACAACACGTCGTGCATCGCTGTAATTCAGGCAAGGATCTCCCCTCTCGGATTGTAATATGCATCGGTTCTGGCAGAACAGCCGGTAACTTTTTCTGACTCAGAATATATTGGGCCATGCCTTTCAATTTTTGGACATCTTTTGGTGGATGTGGTACATCACCCAGATCAGCCTCAGCATAACTGTGTTCGTCCTCTGTTGATGCTGCTGTACTCAGGCACTCCACCTCCTCTGTGCTTCTGACTTTCCTGAATAGTTCACGGTGCGTCTGAAATAAGTGCCATTTTGCAATGTATTTGTGTGGGCATGATATGTTTGTCTCTGCACAAGGACAGTGCCACAAATGATTATTTGTGTCGTACGACACCATGACTCTTCCCAATCGACTGTAATCTGAAACCGTAGGCTCATATATGGAGATATATTTTGTTGTCTTCGGGGTTGCAGCTATCGAGTACACAGATAAAGGGACGTGGTTACATTTGGCAAGGTTTTGCCGAACGAGGCAGAGTCTCTTTTTATCTTCATCAAACCATTTGTTGTTCACCATCTCCGTTAGAGTTTCTTCATCAAGCTCAGTCGGGAAGGCATAGGATGAACCGTAGGCTATGGATTTTAAATGTGCACATTGATTGGCTTTAATTCCACTCCTCCATGCCAACTCCAGGTTCACCTGGCACTCATTGTTTTCACAAGAGACATACTGGTTTTCTCCCCACACTTTATTCTGAACATGCAGAGGAGTACTTGTTCCATTGAAGACTTTGTGGACAGCATAGACTCCATTTGCAGGATCTATGCATTCACTCTGTAGGTGTGAACTTGAGGTCATGTCCTTTTGTTTGGCAGAGTGCTTTCTTTCCATGTGCCTTTTCAATTGTGGTTTATGTAGGAGAACATGGCACATGGGACATTTCTTCCTCAGTACAGGCTTTACACGGACCCTTTGCATATTTCCCTCTGGGATGAAGGGGGTCGATGGATCTGGGATGATGGGGGTCGATGGATCTGGGATGATGGGGGTCGATGGATCTGGGATGATGGGGGTCGATGGATCTGGGATGATGGGGGTCGATGGATCTGGGATGATGGGGGTCGATGGATCTGGGATGATGGGAGTTATGGCAGAGTGCTTCGCCTTGCACAAAGCCAGGTGTTTGATGAAGTCTGCTCTGCGCATCAGCATTGATTGGCAGTAGAAGCAGTGGAAATGCCAGTCCGGTCGGCAATTTAATGCACATCTGTGAATGGTATACCCTTAAACATAAGAACATAGAATTATAGTGTTATTATTTTATGATCATATTATTTTAAAATGTAAATTATGAATACCAAAAATCTGAATCTAGTAACTGGTCACCACAAACAAATCAGAGGGACTTGTTTTGATGTATTGCTCAAATGGAACTGATCACAACATTCAGGCTGCTTTTAATGCAGACAACACACGAGAGAATGTTTACAAACTGTACCTTCATGGAGAACTGCACGGTTGAAGTGGTTCTCTAAATGGATTTTGAGCTTGCTCAGTTTGGCTGGCTGGAACACATCTGAGGCACAGAGCGGGCAGTGGAAGACTTCGCAACATGTCGTGCATCGCTGTAAGTCGGGCAAGGACCTCCCCTCTTGGATTGAAATATGCATCTTGAAAAAGAGAGAGAGGCCTAATTGTTAGATTCTGACACGACAGATTCTAACAAGTGGTGACCTACAGAATAGGCCGACTAAAACACCTCATGCAATATTACAAAACATGTCAAAATGATGAGACTGTCTGATAACACGTAGTGTGGAGTAAACAGCAGTTAAGATTATTTACAATGAATTCAAATAGTAATACAATGACTATTAAAGAAGCATTTACACTGAAGACAGAACTGAGGCTAATGGTGATTTAACGTAGCGGACAGACGGATCATATCGACATGCTTTTGTCATCCTTTGAAGTGTAATTAATTAGCTGGTGATTAATGATCAGGAATCCGTGTATCTACGGTCCATTTGTTTTTCTTTATTCAACCAGTAAACGGAAGAGCGTCTGAGGCCTTTTTACCTTACTAAATGGTCAGTGGAGTGAGGGGCGAAACTCATGGAAGTGATTTCAAAACAAAAAGCACTCGTTTGCTAAAATCACACTTTGAAGCACTTCAGTATCCGGCTGAAGGAACGGTGATTATATTATAAACAAGGTGAATTTAGCGATCACAACGAAAACTGCCAAGACACACATTGAGCCCAGAAAACTAATGTTATTAAAGGGCTGTAAATATAGTAAGCCTGTGTCTAAAATGGACAACATTGTTAGGAGATTCAAACTATACAGCGATTCTGCACTGCTAGTTTGACTGCTACCAGAAATAAAATGAAGTACTTTTACGGTGTACTTTGTGAGTAATCCTCTGTCAGAGTGCCCGACATACATAATGCATGTTTTCTGCTATCTTTGATGAGTGATAAAAAGACAATGTTACCATTAGTTCTTAATGATATTGATACTGCTGGACTCCTACACCTACTATCACAATACAATGAAGTACTCCTGAGTACAAGAATGCATGTTTCTCTGCTATTTTGAATAAGCGTTAAAAAAACCTTTCTTCCTGAGACTCTTATGACAATGCTGTCTTTTAATATATGATTATTTCTCTGCTCCTAGTTCATTCCTCTCAGATTCTTCCATCAGTCCCAGTCATTGCATGTCAGTCAATAGAGCTTCGGAAAATATGTCCAATTCCGAGATAACGGATTTAATATGACAAGCCATATGATGCTCTCATTGGTTAGTGACATTTCACATGCAAATACTCACAACATGAGGCTGAGGTGCATCCGGAGACAAGTCCATTGGCAGGTCATCTTCCGCTATTCCAGAAGTGGTTGGGCTTCTTGTTGCTTCCGGCTAAAATAAAACATAATTAAAGAAATGTTGAGTGTCTAAAATATGCTGTAATGCACAACACATTATTTATTCCTAAACTTACAGAAAGAAAAACTATGTGACATTTAATCACATATTTATATATCAATCTTATACACCTTGAATTCTTGTTGGCCAATGATACACATACCCTTTGAAGATGAGCTGGGAAGTTGAATATTGTTGGCACAACACTATCTTTAAGCCGGACAGTCTGCCCCGTCCTGTCAAAGTCCTCACTCCTGAAGTGCTGACTGCAGAGCAGTGTCCTGGCAGAGGCAACAAAACCGTTCCTTCTTAGGGCGAGTTCCCACTGCATCCTCCTCTCTCCAGTTTTGGGAAACCTTAAAAACACGAGAAAGGTAGACAGATATATAAATTATTGTCAACATTTTCCACCCTTCTTTCCTTTAACATTAAGGGTAAGAACAAAAATACACACCGAAATTATCATATTTCTGGGGTAATTTGATGTATGTATGTATGGATGTATGTGAACTTTAAGAATAAGACAACCACACTAAGAGTTATAAAAAAGGTGTCCAAAAGAAACATTAAATAATTGTGTAAACAAATGGTAGCAACATATTCTAAAAAGCCTGGGTCAACAACAATCTTGCAACACTATTATCTCACATAGCCCCGCTGTTTCTGTGTAGCAGGACTTGTATTGTACATATATTCACTAAGTAACCAACGATTATCCTAATTATAGTCATAATATTGTCATAACTCACAGGTGAAAGGTGATCCCACAGGTTCTTGTTTCCAAGCTACGGCGATTAGAGCATCCGTTGGCTGCACATTGGTCAGGCATCTTCACTGATAGGCGTACTTCTGTAAACACAAAGCCAGGCATAGTCAGGTACTTCTGTAAACACAAAGTCAGGCATAGTCAGGTACTTCTGTAAACACAAAGTCAGGCATAGTCAGGTACTTCTGTAAACACAAAGTCAGGCATAGTCAGGTACTTCTGTAAACACAAAGTCAGGCATAGTCAGGTACTTCTGTACACACAAAGCCAGGCATAGTCAGGTACTTCTGTAAACACAAAGCCAGGCATAGTCAGGTACTTCTGTACACACAAAGCCAGGCATAGTCAGGTACTTCTGTACACACAAAGCCAGCCAAGAGCAGTGCTGCCTCTCCCACTGGTGTAAAGTTGCTGGGTCAACTGTGTAATACTAGGTCTCACTCACAGCATCTTAAATACAACCACATCCACAAAGATTGTCATTTAAAAAAAGATTAGGTTGTCATACAAATCGTTATTGGTCTCAGGAAAACCTATATAATAATTGACTATCTCGATGGTGGTCTCAGCTTTGATAACTTGCGCAAGAAGCCGTGACACACAACTATGCTGCCCGATTAAGTCGTTTTTCGAAAAGAAAAGCTGCGATTTCAACATGTCCACGCATCCTGTATCATAGCCATGCTAATAAGGTTTATAATAAACCAAACCGTTTGTAAAACAGTCAAGCTTTCAGCGAGTTAAGAGTATGTGCAGATCACTCACCTTACAACAGCTAACGTAGAGGGTACCGGAGTAGATGTTGTCACTGTGGCAAGATGGCCACCGGTGAACTACTGCTGGCGACTCCCCCTTACATACATCGTTTTTCCGAAGTCCCTCCCCTTCCGGTCCCATGGAGGTCCCCCGGAAGGGGAGGGACTTCGCCTCTATTTTCTGTTTCTGTTTATTTTCTGTTCTTATTATACATCCATGCCCTCGAGCCATCTAGCCTTTATATATCTATGTATGTTCCTGCACCGGAGGCTGGAGTTTCAGGACCGCAGTCGTGGGACCCATGGATGTATAATAAGGACCATAAGGACCATAGATATGATAAGGACCGCATTGCTAGGACCCTAGTTGTTTTTGCAACATCGCCACTTAGGGTATTGGATGCCCGCTAAAGTACAACCAGAGAGTATTGAGTCTACTACACAGCGAGTTTGTTTAGACATTGTAATGCTTGCTATTAACATACATTGTATTGAATATACACACACAATGGATAGATACAGTCTTTAAGTGTGGAAGTAGATGGTTATGGTTAAGGTAGGCTATTTAGCAGACTTTTATCCAAAGCGAAACTTAAACCACTAAAACAACCATAATTAACACTAGAATATCAATATAAACTTCAATGTATAGAACAACAATAGTGGTGAGAACACAAATAATATATGAGATTACACTAGATTGGCAATAATAAATCACACAGGTGTCACAGAGTAAAGCACATGACTACAACATACTTGGGGTAAACACAGTGATGCATAGCACTCGCTGAGACAAGGAATGGATGTATCTGATTAGATGATAATAATAGTTCCCTGTAGGCTATGGGCAAACCTTCGAGGTCCTCTTTGGTGGGAATGTCCGTTCCAGCGACAGCATTTGTATTTTCAAGAAGCTTTTAAAAACTCACCTTTTAAATTAAAATGTAAAAGTATAGCCTGAGCCAGACTTTTATATATATGGAGGTAGATAAGAGAGCATGTTGAAATGAAAATAAATACATGTAATCAAATATATGTCTTAATTGTTTCCACTTAAACATTTAAAAATATGTATTTTACGGAAGTACTCAAACTACGCTGTGAATTCATTTGACAAAGTGCTGCTTAAATTCTACAAAATGATGAGGGTTGGATTGACAACAATGTGTTTTAGGAATAAAGAATTGTGAAAGACAAGTTTGCTTAATAATATGAATTTTGAGACATTCTTTGTAAATATTTTTTAGGTTTTGGTCGTTCCAACACTTTGGATGAGACTGAAATATCTAAACAGCTATTTCATTGATTGAAAACCCATTACATGTTGTGCACATTCATGGATTGGACAGATTTCTTATTTATTTGAAAATAAACTCCACAGAAGAGATAATGATGTTCATCTTGTTCTCTCTTCATCCAATGATCGCAACACGACTCATGGTAGTCAAAAATCAGTCCACAGATCAGAGAGCACAAATATGGCAACTTTCTGGTTAAAACTGCCATTTCTGATCCTGAAAATGTCAGAAATGGATTTAGCATCCTCAATAAGCCCCCAAAACACTCCTAAATTGTCCAAATTAGCCTTAAACTATTGTCAACTAATTAACACAACTTATGCTAATTGTGCAAATTGCCCAACATATGCAGGTTAGCATTCAGCAGTTTCTATGTTCTGGAGACGTCTAAATTACATTTCTATCATGCAAACAGACTATTACCTTCGATATCCACTGTAATAATATCAGCTGTGGTCTAGAGAGAGTAATCAGTTAGGTAACAAACGTACAGCAAACACAATATTCGTATTAAAAGCAATAAAGATCTTTATACTTGCAAGTATGACGTCCCCTCCAACGGAGAACGTACTGTTCTGAGTCAAACAGGCTCTCTTTAAACTTTTATTATGTATGCCCTCACTTCCAAGCAACTTGGGGTTAAAGGTACCAGCTCCTGTAAAAAGGGAAATGAGGTTTTATTTGCAATTATACTGAGCCAATGTAATGTATGATGTAAAGAGGACATCAAAGCAGATTTACATAACAACATTCTGGGAGGCCAGCTGATGCCCCCTCTGGCACGGTATGCAAAGCCATCACACCCTACAGGACAATGGGATAGACTCCGTATGCAAAGCCATCACACCCTACAGGACAATGGGATAGACGCCGTATGCAAAGCCTCACCCCCTAAATACGTCTGTTGACCACAAGGGTCACTCCCAGAGAGATGACCTAATCAGAGAAACTAAGGTTAGAATCTGAAGAATCAGAAACAGGTTTATTGCCAGGTAGGTTTGCACATACTAGGAATTTGACTTGATGTGATGGTGCATACATAAAATATAAACAACAAGAAATCTAATATAAAACAAAAAATCGTTTACACCGTAATAAAATACAGTTAAATAGCAATACAAATAAAAATAAAGCAGTAATTTACATGGAAATAGAATGCTATGAATGAATTTTAGAATATAAACTATCAAATGTGAAATCAGAATATGTGCAGTAAGCAGTATGAACATTGTGTGCATTAATGTAATGCATATAGTCTATGATGTGGCTGAGGTAAAGTGTCAGTGGGGGGGCCGGGCCTTGTTTAAGAGGCCGGTAGCGGAGGGGAAGAAACTGTTCAGGTGGCGAGAGGTTTTGGTCCCGATGGAGCGCAGCCTCCTGCCAGAGGGGAGGGGGGTGAACAGTTTGTGTCCAGGGTGGGAGGGGTCGGCCACTATCTTCCCTGCCCGCCTCAGGGTCCTGGAGGCGGGCAGGTCGTGGAGGGATGGCAGATTGCAGCCCATCACCTTCTCTGCAGAGCGGATGACACGCTGCAGCCTGCCCTTATCCTTGGCTGCGGCGTACCAGATGGTGATGGAGGAGGTGAGGATGGACTTGATGATGGAGGTGTAGAAGTTCACCATCATGGTCTTTGGCAGGTTGAATTTCTTCAGCTGCCTCAGGAAGAACATCCTCTGCTGGGCTTTTTTGATGAGGGAGCTGCTGTTCTCCCATTTGAGGTCCTGGGCGATGATGGAAGCGGAAAGACTCCACAGCAGTTACTGGGGAGTCACACAGAGTGATGGGGGGTCACACAGAGTGATGGGGGGTCACACAGAGTGATGGGGGCGGGTGGGGCTGCGGTCTTCCTGAAGTCCACGACCATCTCCACTGTGTTTAGGGCGTTGAGCTCCAGGTGGTTTTCCCCACACCAGGTCACCAGATGGTCCATCTCCCACCTGTAGGCAGACTCGTCCCCACCAGAGAGGAGGCCGATGAGCGTGGTGTCGTCTGAACTTCAGGAGCTTGACAGACTGGTGCCTGGAGGTGCAGCTGTTGGTGTACAGGGAGAAGAGCAGAGGGGAAAGAACGCAGCCTTGAGGGGAACCGGTGCTGATGGTCCGGGGGTCAGAGACGTGTTTCCCCAGCCTCACGTGCTGCTTCCTGTCAGCAATGTTAACACCTTTGATTGCACACTTTCCTTAACATTCTCCTTTTTGATTAATTTGAATCACTAATTGTGTTATCAACGTCAGGACTAATTAACATGTACAGTTGTCAGTTTGAAAAGTGTTTCCACATCAGGTAGGTGGGTGTTGTCACACCCTACCATCTGCTCCTTGCCCAAACACTCTACATCCTCAAGCATGTTTAATTTAGCATATTGGTGTTGAACCTGCCCCCCCCACAATTCCTCCTATCCAGCAATAGATTAAAGCTTGCATACATGTGAGAGTACAGGTACTAAGACTTATAGCCGCTTTCACACCAAGTACTTTGCCGTACTTAGTGCCGGCACTTAGTACCGGCACTTAGTACCCCGGCACTTAGTACCCCAGGGCACTTAGTACAGATTGCGTTCACACCAGAATAAGTTCTCTGAGGGAAGATTACGCAAATGAGCCCGAAAGCATTCTGAATCTTCTCCAAAGCTGTTATTACATTTGTAATATTATCCGAATTGTCCGGTATCATTGTCATGAAGGAGTACTTATACTATATATATATATAAGGAATTATTACTTGTGAATCAGAGTCAATTTCCCAGGCCTTCCGTTTCTGCCAATCACATAACCTCTCACATCTCTGAGGCTTGTCCTTGCCTTCTGATGTATCAGTGATGCCTCTTATGAACATTGGGTCATCAATTTCTGTTGGTCCCTTATGTGTCTCCGATCTCACAAGGACATCAGTATCAGGCAGCCTTTGAGGAGTAGACCGCAACTGCTCTCTCTCTTGTGCCAGACCCCATTTGCCTGAATGGGCTCCATTCTTCAAGCTCCTTGTGGTCGAAGCTCCCTTGCAGTGTGGATCCTCAGAAGCAGTGTGTCCTTCCAAAGGTGACGCCTTCCTGTCTCCAGTGGTTTCCAAGTTGCCCTCTCAGACATCTTAGCAGCCGAGTTGGTCAACAGCAAATCCTGGAACAGCCCAGCCCCCCTTGGCTTTCTCCAATTCAGTCTCTTTCAGTCCTTCATCACCACCCATTCTCAGCTTGGATCGTATGCAGAAGTCCCTCCAACGGCACCATGCTGCTTCTACCTGTCAATGGATCTTAACAAGCATAAAAACAAATGCAGAAATCCAACATACTGTCATAACATGTCTCACAGTAACACCTTGGCTTCTGCATCTGCTTTACCTGCTATAATTCAATCAATATTTAGAAACATGTCAACACGTTCATTTCAAATCCATCATTCAATGGTCAGTTTGAACCGAAATGAAACATTTAAATTGTGAATTGTTAGTTATATGAGCTTATATGAGCAGCCATGTTGACATTATTGGCTACTCCCCCCTTTTACACATCAACATGTGTAAAAAACACCCTGTGCAGAAAAAAAAAATCCTTATTATTTCCACAATAAACACTTCAGTGAGAAGGCGTGTTTCTCTCCTTCATCCAGTCCTAAAAGAAAACTGAATCTTGAGATTTAGTTTGAGCCCCACACTTTTGAATTTCCACCTCCTGTGGAAGTAAATGGCATGTGTGCGGTTTACCAGCTCGTGGACTTTAGGAATCCTCTCGTTTCCCACAAAGCCCCAGAATCATGTGTTAGTCCAAAACATGCTTGGTTAGTCATTGTTTTAGAATCATGCAGTTACACTGATCACATGCAGACACACATTCACACTCACACACTGTCTGGTTGTCAAGTCAGGTTTGGTCAGGTACACCCCAGAGTCAGTCATTGACAGTGCTTTTGTCAAGTAACACTGTCAGTCGGGGTCAAAGGTCATTTGGTCTCAGTCTTTTGGTCATGTGTCATGCTCTGCAGAGACTTTGATATCTCAGCATAGACAGGTATCCTTTCTCTACAAAGGATACCTGTCTATGCTGAGTGCCATCATTTATTTCTTCAGAACTACAACTATAATGTTCAAGATGGATCTAACTTTTCAGGGACAGCTGCTTCCCACATTTCCTTATAGACTACTACTGCAGTTTATTATCACCTAATCTATATTAAAATATCTAATGGATCTATTTCAGAAACTTGTGCACATAACTATTATCTTGAGTCAAAACATTATTAGCTCTGCAATGTATTTCATAATTCATTACATTTATTTATTTTCAATTCTGGTCTATTTAAAGAAACATTTCAACCTTTTAACCGCGGAGTAATGTGTGGAACTATGGGAAGTTTGAACATGTCACAATTACTCCTTTCCTTATATGCTTTCCTGTTCGTGTGACTAATTATATTTCACATGGTCTGTAGTCGAATTAAGGAGTTCATCACTATGGCAGGTATGTTTTAATAAATACCATATTTGAGATCAGCCCACAATTTGGGCGTAACATCTTCTAATTTCAGGTCATCACTAATTAAGTGGATGTCCACTGGAAGGTGGTGGTGCTGGTCTTTTTCTTTTTTAAACTCATAAACCGGTGCTTTGCATGCTTCCCTCGGCGGGTGCAGATACGATTTCTGAAAACAACTGAAGGGTGGGTGAAGTGACCCCTTCTCCCCACAGATGTCGGTTGCCAAGAATATGCACCATTACAACAATGAGTGATCCAAGGGCCCACATGTTTGCTCCCAGTTATATTGCTTTTTCTAAATTGAATTTGTAATTCCTATTTGCCCAAAGTGTCTTTTTTAAAAACTCTGCATTTCGAACTACAGACAACAGTTATTTCCCTCTTAGTAATATCTATGCTCAAACCACTGCTAATCCGAATATGCATCGACACGTGGTATAGACTCTCCTTTAAACTGTAGATCAATATTTTTACAAATGAAAACGCTTCCAAATTCACACATGAATAAAAAGCTCTAAAAGAATAATGATGAAAAGATTAAAGAATGTTTTCTACCCTGTACTCCTACAGTGTGTTTGAAGTTTATTTTCTCATTTACTTTAATAATATCCTCTTTTCTGCTATTGGTAATAGCATTTATAACAAAATCCTGCAAAACAATGTGTACATTCGTAAACAAGAGGATTAACTGCTAAGATATAAATTGGCAAACAATCTGAGAAACAAATAACCATCATGGTATCGTTGAACAATACTTTGAGTTTTATTCTGATCAGAAGTGACAGCTGACAGAAAACAGGAAGTGTAACATGAGAAAAATATATGTATATCATAATAAAATGGTTTTGGAGCAAAGAGAGCAAGCTTTCAGAAGATTACACCATATTTCTAACATGATCAAAGATGTGAAAAGTGCCAGCGAGAGATAAATATACAAAGGTCTCGTGAGACGTCTCTTTTTCTGATTACACGCTTCCACAAATACAAACCTGAAGCAGGGATTACATTTCAAATACATCCATTTATAAATCCAGGATCTCATTCAAGGTCTTCACAGAAGATTCATAGATAACCCTGTGAGAGGAGGGGAGGAAAGGTCAGTCGTTACTTAGAGCACATATTTATCCACAGATGATCTGATATTAGACGTTATAAATATGTTGTTTCCTCACCTCTGGATGTCTGTGGACGTGACGGCGTGCGAGTGAAGCTGCTGCTGCACAGAAGAGGTGGCCATCTTCAGACTGGCTTTACACTGACCGGCTGAAAGAGATCAATAATATACTGATTTACCTCAGAAAGAAAAACCTCTGATCTGAGAATCAAAATACTTTGTTTACACCCAGAGGAAAGGGATGTTGTACTAGTTGCTCAACAGTCTTTCTTTTACTGTTCCCTTTAGTGTTTACCTTGTCTTCTGCTGTTCCCTTTAGTGTTCCCTTTGTCTTCTACTGTTCCCTTTAGTGTTTACTATGTCTTCTACTGTTCCCTTTGTCTTCTGCTGTTCCCTTTAGTGTTTACTATGTCTTCTACTGTTCCCTTTAGTGTTTACTATGTCTTCTACTGTTCCCTTTGTCTTCTGCTGTTCCCTTGAGTGTTTACTATGTCTTCTACTGTTCCCTTTAGTGATTACTATGTCTTCTACTGTTCCCTTTGTCTTCTACTGTTCCCTTGAGTGTTTACTATGTCTTCTACTGTTCCCTTGAGTGTTTACTATGTCTTCTGCTGTTCCCTTGAGTGTTTACTATGTCTTCTACTGTTCCCTTGAGTGTTTACTATGTCTTCTACTGTTCCCTTGAGTGTTTACTATGTCTTCTACTGTTCCCTTGAGTGTTTACTATGTCTTCTGCTGTTCCCTTGAGTGTTTACTATGTCTTCTGATGTTCCCTTTAGTGTTTACTATGTCTTCTACTGTTCCCTTTAGTGTTTACTATGTCTTCTACTGTTCCCTTGAGTGTTTACTATGTCTTCTGCTGTTCCCTTGAGTGTTTACTTTGTCTTCTACTGTTCCCTTTAGTGTTTACTTTGTCTTCTACTGTTCCCTTTAGTGTTCCCTTTGTCTTCTACTGTTCCCTTTAATGTTTACTTTGTCTTCTGCTGTTCCCTTTAGTGTTCCCTTTGTCTTCTGCTGTTCCCTTAAATGTTTACTTTGTCTTCTGCTGTTCCCTTTAGTGTTCCCTTTGTCTTCTGCTGTTCCCTTTAGTGTTTACTTTGTCTTCTGTTCCCTTTAGTGTTCCCTTTGTCTTCTACTGTTCCCTTTAGTGTTTACTTTGTCTTCTACTGTTCCCTTTAGTGTTTACTTTGTCTTCTACTGTTCCCTTTAGTGTTTACTTTGTCTGCTGCTGTTCCCTTTAGTGTTCCCTGTGTCTTCTACTGTTCCCTTTAGTGTTTACTTTGTCTTCTACTGTTCCCTTTAGTGTTCCCTGTGTCTTCTACTGTTCCCTTTAGTGTTTACTTTGTCTTCTACTGTTCCCTTTAATGTTTACTTTGTCTTCTGCTGTTCCCTTTAGTGTTCCCTTTGTCTTCTGCTGTTCCCTTTAGTGTTTACTTTGTCTTCTGCTGTTCCCTTTAGTGTTGCCTTTGTCTTCTGCTGTTCCCTTTAGTGTTTACTTTGTCTTCTGCTGTTCCCTTTAGTGTTTACTTTGTCTGCTGCTGTTCCCTTTAGTGTTCCCTGTGTCTTCTACTGTTCCCTTTAGTGTTTACTTTGTCTTCTACTGTTCCCTTTAGTGTTCCCTGTGTCTTCTACTGTTCCCTTTAGTGTTTACTTTGTCTTCTACTGTTCCCTTTAATGTTTACTTTGTCTTCTGCTGTTCCCTTTAGTGTTCCCTTTGTCTTCTGCTGTTCCCTTTAGTGTTTACTTTGTCTTCTGCTGTTCCCTTTAGTGTTGCCTTTGTCTTCTGCTGTTCCCTTTAGTGTTGCCTTTGTCTTCTGCTGTTCCCTTTAGTGTTTACTTTGTCTTCTGCTGTTCCCTTTAGTGTTCACTTTGTCTTCTACTGTTCCCTTTAGTGTTTACTTTGTCTTCTACTGTTCCCTTTAGTGTTCCCTTTGTCTTCTACTGTTCCCTTTAGTGTTTACTTTGTCTTCTACTGTTCCCTTTAGTGTTTACTTTGTCTTCTACTGTTCCCTTTAGTGTTTACTGTGTCTTCTACTGTTCCCTTTAGTGTTTACTTTGTCTTCTACTGTTCCCTTTAGTGTTTACTTTGTCTTCTACGGTTCCCTTTAGTGTTCCCTTTGTCTTCTACTGTTCCCTTTAGTGTTTACTTTGTCTTCTACTGTTCCCTTTAGTGTTTACTTTGTCTTCTACTGTTCCCTTTAGTGTTTACTGTGTCTTCTACTGTTCCCTTTAGTGTTTACTTTGTCTTCTACTGTTCCCTTTAGTGTTTACTTTGTCTTCTACTGTTCCCTTTAGTGTTTACTGTGTCTTCTACTGTTCCCTTTAGTGTTCCCTTTGTCTTCTGCTGTTCCCTTTAGTGTTTACTTTGTCTTCTGCTGTTCCCTTTAGTGTTCCCTTTGTCTTCTGCTGTTCCCTTTAGTGTTTACTTTGTCTTCTGCTGTTCCCTTTAGTGTTTACTTTGTCTTCTACTGTTCCCTTTAGTGTTTACTTTGTCTTCTACTGTTCCCTTTAGTGTTCCCTTTGTCTTCTGCTGTTCCCTTTAGTGTTTACTTTGTCTTCTACTGTTCCCTTTAGTGTTTACTTTGTCTTCTACTGTTCCCTTTAGTGTTTACTGTGTCTTCTACTGTTCCCTTTAGTGTTTACTTTGTCTTCTACTGTTCCCTTTAGTGTTTACTTTGTCTTCTACTGTTCCCTTTAGTGTTTACTGTGTCTTCTACTGTTCCCTTTAGTGTTCCCTTTGTCTTCTACTGTTCCCTTTAATGTTTACTTTGTCTTCTACTGTTCCCTTTAGTGTTCCCTTTGTCTTCTACTGTTCCCTTTAGTGTTCCCTTTGTCTTCTGCTGTTCCCTTTAGTGTTTACTTTGTCTTCTGCTGTTCCCTTTAGTGTTCCCTTTGTCTTCTGCTGTTCCCTTTAGTGTTTACTTTGTCTTCTACTGTTCCCTTTAGTGTTCCCTTTGTCTTCTACTGTTCCCTTTAATGTTTACTTTGTCTTCTGCTGTTCCCTTTAGTGTTCCCTTTGTCTTCTGCTGTTCCCTTTAGTGTTTACTTTGTCTTCTGCTGTTCCCTTTAGTGTTTACTTTGTCTTTTGCTGTTCCCTTTAGTGTTCCATTTGTCTTCTGCTGTTCCCTTTAGTGTTTACTTTGTCTTCTGTTCCCTTTAGTGTTCCCTTTGTCTTCTGCTGTTCCCTTTAGTGTTTACTTTGTCTTCTGCTGTTCCCTTTAGTGTTTACTTTGTCTTCTGCTGTTCCCTTTAGTGTTTACTTTGTCTTCTACTGTTCCCTTTAGTGTTTACTGTGTCTTCTACTGTTCCCTTTAGTGTTTACTGTGTCTTCTACTGTTCCCTTTAGTGTTCCCTTTGTCTTCTACTGTTCCCTTTAATGTTTACTTTGTCTTCTACTGTTCCCTTTAGTGTTCCCTTTGTCTTCTACTGTTCCCTTTAGTGTTCCCTTTGTCTTCTGCTGTTCCCTTTAGTGTTTACTTTGTCTTCTGCTGTTCCCTTTAGTGTTCCCTTTGTCTTCTGCTGTTCCCTTTAGTGTTTACTTTGTCTTCTGTTCCCTTTAGTGTTCCCTTTGTCTTCTACTGTTCCCTTTAGTGTTTACTTTGTCTTCTACTGTTCCCTTTAGTGTTTACTTTGTCTTCTACTGTTCCCTTTAGTGTTTACTTTGTCTTCTACTGTTCCCTTTAGTGTTCCCTTTGTCTTCTACTGTTCCCTTTAGTGTTTACTTTGTCTTCTACTGTTCCCTTTAGTGTTTACTTTGTCTTCTACTGTTCCCTTTAGTGTTCCCTTTGTCTTCTACTGTTCCCTTTAATGTTTACTTTGTCTTCTGCTGTTCCCTTTAGTGTTCCCTTTGTCTTCTGCTGTTCCCTTTAGTGTTTACTTTGTCTTCTGCTGTTCCCTTTAGTGTTTACTTTGTCTTTTGCTGTTCCGTTTAGTGTTCCATTTGTCTTCTGCTGTTCCCTTTAGTGTTTACTTTGTCTTCTGTTCCCTTTAGTGTTCCCTTTGTCTTCTACTGTTCCCTTTAGTGTTTACTTTGTCTTCTACTGTTCCCTTTAGTGTTTACTTTGTCTTCTACTGTTCCCTTTAGTGTTCCCTTTGTCTTCTACTGTTCCCTTTAATGTTTACTTTGTCTTCTGCTGTTCCCTTTAGTGTTCCCTTTGTCTTCTGCTGTTCCCTTAAATGTTTACTTTGTCTTCTGCTGTTCCCTTTAGTGTTCCCTTTGTCTTCTGCTGTTCCCTTTAGTGTTTACTTTGTCTTCTGTTCCCTTTAGTGTTCCCTTTGTCTTCTACTGTTCCCTTTAGTGTTTACTTTGTCTTCTACTGTTCCCTTTAGTGTTTACTTTGTCTGCTGCTGTTCCCTTTAGTGTTCCCTGTGTCTTCTACTGTTCCCTTTAGTGTTTACTTTGTCTTCTACTGTTCCCTTTAGTGTTTACTTTGTCTTCTACTGTTCCCTTTAGTGTTCCCTGTGTCTTCTACTGTTCCCTTTAGTGTTTACTTTGTCTTCTACTGTTCCCTTTAATGTTTACTTTGTCTTCTGCTGTTCCCTTTAGTGTTCCCTTTGTCTTCTGCTGTTCCCTTTAGTGTTTACTTTGTCTTCTGCTGTTCCCTTTAGTGTTTACTTTGTCTTCTACTGTTCCCTTTAGTGTTTACTTTGTCTTCTACTGTTCCCTTTAGTGTTTACTTTGTCTTCTGTCTTCTTCTGTTTATTTGTCGGACGTCCAGCTCTCTGTCTTTTAACCTAATTTCTTCTCTCTCAACTTTTAATATCACGTCTACTCACTGTGTCTGATGATGGATAAGATGTCTACTCACTGTGTCTGATGATGGATAAGATGTCTACTCACTGTGTCTGATGATGGATAAGATGTCTACTCACTGTGTCTGATGATGGATAAGATGTGCAGAACAGCAGCCAGTTCGCTCAGACTGCTGAAGACGGCCTCAGACTCAAAAGAGGAGCTGACTTCGGCCAAAAATGACCTTAAAAAACAACAAATAAGTCAAAGTCAACTTTATTGTCAATCTTTCAGTTTGTGTGAACAGACAGAGAGATCGGAAATAAGGCTGTTAAGTGTTTCTGTGACACTACTCAGAGAGACACGAGGAGAGCTGGAGCTTTGATGGAGTCAGGACTCAGAGAGACACGAGGAGAGCTGGAGCTTTGATGGAGTCAGGACTCAGAGAGACACGAGGAGAGCTGGAGCTCTGATGGAGTCAGGACTCAGAGAGACACGAGGAGAGCTGGAGCTTTGATGGAGTCAGGACTCGGAGAGAGACACGATGAGAGCTGGAGCTTTGATGGAGTCAGGACTCAGAGAGACACGAGGAGAGCTGGAGCTTTGATGGAGTCAGGACTCAAAGAGACACGAGGAGAGCTGGAGCTTTGATGGAGTCAGGACTCAGAGAGAGACACGAGGAGAGCTGGAGCTTTGATGGAGTCAGGACTCAGAGAGACACGAGGAGAGCTGGAGCTTTGATGGAGTCAGGACTCAGAGAGACACGAGGAGAGCTGGAGCTTTGATGGAGTCAGGACTCAGAGAGACACGAGGAGAGATGGAGCTTTGATGGAGTCAGGACTCAGAGAGACACGAGGAGAGCTGGAGCTTTGATGGAGTCAGGACTCAGAGAGACACGAGGAGAGCTGGAGCTCTGATGGAGTCAGGACTCAGAGAGAGACACGAGGAGAGCTGGAGCTTTGATGGAGTCAGGACTCAGAGAGACACGAGGAGAGCTGGAGCTTTGATGGAGTCAGGACTCAGAGAGACACGAGGAGAGCTGGAGCTTTGATGGAGTCAGGACTCGGAGAGAGACACGATGAGAGCTGGAGCTTTGATGGAGTCAGGACTCAGAGAGACACGAGGAGAGCTGGAGCTTTGATGGAGTCAGGACTCAAAGAGACACGAGGAGAGCTGGAGCTTTGATGGAGTCAGGACTCAGAGAGAGACACGAGGAGAGCTGGAGCTTTGATGGAGTCAGGACTCAGAGAGACACGAGGAGAGCTGGAGCTTTGATGGAGTCAGGACTCAGAGAGACACGAGGAGAGCTGGAGCTTTGATGGAGTCAGGACTCAGAGAGACACGAGGAGAGATGGAGCTTTGATGGAGTCAGGACTCAGAGAGACACGAGGAGAGCTGGAGCTTTGATGGAGTCAGGACTCAGAGAGACACGAGGAGAGCTGGAGCTCTGATGGAGTCAGGACTCAGAGAGAGACACGAGGAGAGCTGGAGCTTTGATGGAGTCAGGACTCAGAGAGACACGAGGAGAGCTGGAGCTTTGATGGAGTCAGGACTCAGAGAGACACGAGGAGAGCTGGAGCTTTGATGGAGTCAGGACTCAGAGAGACACGAGGAGAGCTGGAGCTTTGATGGAGTCAGGACTCAGAGAGAGACACGAGGAGAGCTGGAGCTTTGATGGAGTCAGGACTCAGAGAGACACGAGGAGAGCTGGAGCTTTGATGGAGTCAGGACTCAGAGAGAGACGAGGAGAGCTGGAGCTTTGATGGAGTCAGGACTCAAAGAGACACGAGGAGAGCTGGAGCTTTGATGGAGTCAGGACTCAGAGAGACACGAGGAGAGCTGGAGCTTTGATGGAGTCAGGACTCAGAGAGACACGAGGAGAGCTGGAGCTTTGATGGAGTCAGGACTCAGAGAGACACGAGGAGAGCTGGAGCTTTGATGGCAAACACTGACGGTTTATTTGGAGCTTCGGCCGGAGAATTCACAAGACATGTCACGGGCCACGGTCTGACCACACGGTTGAGATGCCACCATCAATTCTGAAGAGCCCTCCTGTAGCTCCAGGGTTTAACTAGTTCAGAGTGTAATAATCAACATTCTTCAATAGATAGACTAAACAGCTGAGGACACTGAATCACATTTGTTGTCGCCTATGGCTCGAGGTCATCTACACCCCGAGAAGGATGTGTTCCAGGTGTCCCACAACAACAACTATCTCTGACCGAGAGCTGCCCGGTCACAAACTGGTAACAACAACAACTTGCTAGGGCAGCCCCTCCTTAAGGGAGATAGCGGCTGATCAAGGTTGGAGCATCTGCGTCAGAGGGCGAAGGAGGACAGCAGGGCAAATTATTCCACAACAACACATAGTCCAAGAAACACAACAGAGGAGAAGGCCATCCTCTCTGAAAGCACAGAAAATATGACAGAAAGCTGAGAGGAGAGTTTTTACCTGGTGAGTGACGGTAATTTGAGGATGACGGACAGCAGGGCGCTGGACAGAGGAGGCATGTCCTCCACTGACTCCGGAGTGACCACCTCCTCAGGAAGGGTGACCTTTCAAAATAAGAGACCTTTAATTCAATGGCTCATCATAGTCTTGTGCAGAGGGGGGAAGTAGTGGAGTACAAATACTTCGTTCAGTACATTCTTCTGGTATCAGTACTTTACTCCACGACGACTTTTTACTTTGACTTCTTACATGTTGAACACAAATACCTGTACTTTCTACTTCTTACATGTTGAACACAAATACCTGTACTTTCTACTTCTTACATGTTGAACCCAAATACCTGTACTTTCTACTTCTTACATGTTGAACACAAATACCTGTAATTTCTACTTCTTACATGTTGAACACAAATACCTGTACTTTCTACTTCTTACATGTTGAACCCAAATACCTGTACTTTCTACTTCTTACATGTTGAACACAAATACCTGTAATTTCTACTTCTTACATGTTGAACACAAATACCTGTACTTTCTACTTCTTACATGTTGAACCCAAATACCTGTACTTTCTACTTCTTACATGTTGAACCCAAATACCTGTACTTTCTACTTCTTACATGTTGAACACAAATACCTGTACTTTCTACTTCTTACATGTTGAACACAAATACCTGTACTTTCTACTTCTTACATGTTGAACACAAATACCTGTACTTTCTACTTCTCACATGTTGAACACAAATACCTGTACTTTCTACTTCTTACATGTTGAACACAAATACCTGTACTTTCTACTTCTCACATTTCCCAAACAGGCTGGTTCCTTTAGTTTGAATGTGTGTTTGGTGGCGTGATCATTATTATTTAGAGTCATTGCGTGCCTATTGATTTGAACACGATCCGTGTATCCATCATTTCCTGGTCTTCTCTAAAGAAGAGGGACCAATGAAAACGTTGTCATGTTGCCGTTGTTCAGCATGGAAACATTCATTAGCTAACAATGACATTATTGTTCTATTCATATAAAGGGAGGTCAGGTACTCTTTAAAACAGCTGCTAGTTATGGGTACTTTTTACTGAAGTACATTTCAAAGCCTCTTTACTTTTACTTGAGTAAAGAAGTTTAGTCAGTACTTCTACTTTCACCAGAGTATTTTTAAGTATCTGTACTTCTACTTGAGTAAAGGATGTGTGTACTTTTGTAATCCCTGGATTACGGTCACACATAGAAACAATAGAGATTACTAGCAGGATTACACCCTGCCTGTCAGCTGCCATCGTTTGACGCCAAATACCCAAAACCAGAGCAAGAACAGGTCATGTAACTAATTTCGGGTCATTGATTTGTCACCAGCTATGAGTAAGTGTGCGGTGTGCAAAGTAATCACATTAGAAAGTCTCTGGTACTCAATCAATAACATGTTACATCTTCAGGGCATTTTCAATAAGACGTCTTCATAACAGGAGAGACTTTATAGCTCATTTTGAATCTAACGGGAGGAAATGAAGGGTTAAGCTTCTCAGATTTAGTTCGGTCACGTTGGCTGATCTGGTATCTGTACTTCTACTCGAGTAAAGGATGTACTTCTGCCCTCTCTGGTCTTGTGAGATATCGGTGAAAGATGAAGTCTCGTACCTTCTGCAGCAGATGTCTTTTCTCCACGATGATGACGGCGAACAGAGTGGAGAAGACGCCGCTGAGGGGGGGTTTGTCCCACGTTTGAGCGACCTGGAGGAAGTTACTGAGGCCGGGGATCGCTGACTGACACAACTGGGAGAAAAGAGAGAGATTAAAATGGGAAGAAAAGTCTAAATAAGTCAAATGGAGCAAAGAAATCTGAATTTACAAGGAATTTGCGGACCATTTACATTAGGGCTGAACTGATTTATCGATTTTAAATCGCAAAGCCTGCGATTTTTTTAAACTTTTTTGTTTTGTTCTTCTTGTGTGTCAGTCATCCACACCAATCAGAAGTGCTGTGCTCCACATGTACCAGCCATTGTTAACCAATCAGAAGTGCTGTGCTCCACATGTACCAGCCATTGTTAACCAATCAGAAGTGCTGTGCTCCACATGTACCAGCCATTGTTAACCACAGGGTTCATACACTTTTTCACCAATGATTTTCAATGACTTTTCCATGACCTTTACCTAATTTTCCATGACCAAAAAAAGTACTCAGCGGTACCACTGAAAATGGTTTATTTGAACATGGAACAGGAAAATAAGGTCTGCATATGAAACATGTCGTGCCTATCTAAAACAAATCCAGTAGGCTTACTAGCTTCTACACACTAAAGCAACTGAAATCTCTCACCAGCAAAACACCTCGACAGTTAAATGCCATTTTATGTTTCATTACTAAACCATACAGTATTTACCATTATAGTTTTACTATTTCGGCGATTAGCTAAAATATAAATTATATTTGATGCAACTTGTTACATTTCCATGACTTTTCCAAAACTTTGGGAAAAATATTGTTTTCCATAACTTTTCCAGGGCCTGGAATTTGCATTTTGAATTTCCATGACTTTTCCAGGTTTTTAAATGACCGTAAGAACCCTGTAACCAATCAGAAGTGGCCCATGATAGAAGGTGATAGACAGATTGATCCAATCACCTGCCAAGTGTTTTTGAAATACTTTTCCAAATGGCTTCCAATGGAGCTTTCCTGATGGTTCGGTGAAACCACCTGAGTCAGGTTAGTAACGCTCCATCACATGTTTCTATTACAGGGTGAATCTGAAACTGAAGCTTGACTTTAAAGCAACCCAACGGAAGTTTCAAGTAAGTTTAGTTCTTTCACTCGTAGCTCGGGGTGCTAGAGACGGGAGCACTTTGATACGACCTTCCTAGCCGGAGATATGGCCGCATTTTACAAAAAACTTCTGTTGGGTCGCTTAAAAACAAATATCGCAAATGGAATTGTAATATCTGTCAGAAAAATCCCAATTAGATTTTTCCCCCAAATCGTGCAGCCCTAATTTAAATGCACACACACACCTTTAAAAACACCCCAAAAAGCAGAACAGGGCGTCTGTACATAAACACAGCAGGGGTTAAAACGTCACACACCTGTCTCCCCTCCTCTGGTTCCTTCCTGACTCGACGAGACAGCAGCTCGATGATTTTCTGGAAGATGTTGGCCACGACACCCAGAATCACAGCGGTGGCATCTTCCTCTTTCCCCCCCTCCTCTTCCTGTTGCTTGTCTTCAGGTGAGTAGCTGTCTGCAATCTCCTTTAGAATCAGAAGCACTGCAGGAATGCACAGGTAACCCGCCTCTGGAAACACAAGAGGTTAGTTCAGATAAACAAAGATTATTTAATTTAATTTAATTTAATTTATTTATTTTAATTTATTTTATTTTATTTATTTTATTTTATTGATATTATTGATATTGTTGATTTTATTAATTTTATTAATTTAATTGATTTTATTGATATTATTGATTTTATTTATTCCGGACAGTGCACATTAATTAACATTTCTGTAAATGTCAACCTAAAGACAAATTTCATTTTAAACAAGTAAATACAATCAAATAAAAACACGCAACATACAGGACTGGAATCCTTAAAGGTCCCATGTCATGCTTTTCCGGTTATCACCCGTCCCCTTGTGTGTTATGAAGCTTTTTCTGCATGTAAACGGTCTGCAGGCTGAGTTCAGGTGGGTTTCGCGGTGTCTCGCAGACCCCACGCAGCAACCTGGAAACGACCCCAATTAATCCAGCTCACACTGTCCGCTCCTCGAGCCTCAAAGGGCGGAGCAGCGAGCCCCGCAGCGTCCCGCCAACACGGCACCCAGACCCCACGCAGCATTCTCATCCGTTTGTCATTACTGGTGTCATTTCCTGGTTGCTAACAAACGCCATTGTAAAACATAATCACTGATGTTCCGCTGTAACGGTGGTGGACTCATCAGAACAGAGTGGGCGAGCTGACCAATCAGAGCACAGTGGGCTCACAGGGAGGGGGGGGGGGGCAGGAGCTCCAACAAGGCGTGTAGGACAGAGAGTGAATACACATACTATACAGAGATGCTGTATGAGAAACCAATGTGAGTTTGGAACATTGAACAGTATACATTTATTCTAGTAGACCTCAACAATGGAAATATGATCAGTAGAAATGGCCATGACATGGGACCTTTAAGATAACATGTTAAAGGTAACCCGCCTCTGGAAACAGTAAGTAAAGAAAGATTATTTTAAGGGATATTAACGCTTCTGTGGTTTATTTTAGTGATAAATGCAGTGTTCACTCACCAGAGAGGAGGGTGAGCGAGCACAAGTGGAGGATTAGACCTTTGAACATCTCGTCGCCCAAACCCACGAGTAAAACGTCCCGGCACAACGTCAGGAAGCTCTGGGGAAAAATGATAAGAAATGAATTTAAAAACCCTTGAAATGAAGTCTTCGAGGAGCGACATGTAGTTTGTTACGGCTGGCCTGCATGAGCTGCCAACTCTTTAACAACTAAGACATGGAAATAACATTTGATTTCAGCGTGCAGGTAGTGACAGGCTGCAGAGCAATGTCAGTGTGAGGATGTAGAAGAGTCTGAATCCACCAAGAACTGAAAGTCCTGCAGTGGAAATCGTAATTTTGTGGATAACCGTGTGATTTAATTTCAATTGAAGATGCAAAAATGTCAAGTTGCAGGAACAATCGATTGATTTGCTTGCAGAGAAATCACCTCTCATGGATTGATTTTCACGTGAATTCACTTACTCCAAAACATTATTAGCAGCTACCATCTAGTTTAGGGTACAAAAGAATACACAGATAATACAATCAATTCAACAATAATTGTGGTTTATGGACAACAGAAAAGTGCTGCCCCACACACACACACACACGCTCCCACACACACGCTCACACACACACACACACACACACACACACACACACACACACACACACACACACACACACACACACACACACACACACACCACACACACACACACACACACACACACACACACACACACACACACACACACACACACACACACACACACACACACACACACACACACACACACACACACACACACACACACACACACACACACACACACACACACACACACACACACACACACACACACACACACACACACACACACACACACACACACACACACACACACACACACACACACACACACACACACACACCTCAGTAATCTGTGCTGCCAGCAGTGGAGATTTCCCCCCTTCTTCCTCCTGCTCCTCTTCATCACCATCTGTGTTGGGTATAGTGAGGAAGGGTAGCACCTCCTCAGCGATCCAGGCTGCAACATTTTCCAGAGACAACAGGTATTCTCGACCGTCTGGGGACTAAAAAAAACAAAAATCTCTTATTTTTTTTACATGATTTTGTACTTTACAAGAAGATAAACTAACTGTAAAGCTTTGGGTGGTAAACAGAAAGTAACTGGGTCACAAAAAGGATCAGATGTCATTCCTCCCTTCAGTTAAATACGGCTATAATTTACCATATTTTTTTAATGTTATTATAGTTTTCTTAAAGTAGTTCTCTATCTGTGCAGAACGAGGAACTCACTTTTTGCTGCAGATGTGCTCCGAGTCGGCCGTGGTACGTGAAGACTTTGAGAGCGATTTCCACGCTGGGACTTTTATCGTTTGCTGTAGAGCTGAGGTGAGAAAAGAGCACCGACTGGACACAAAAACATTATGTTCAGGTGTATATCAGTATGTACTGTCTCTACTTTAAAGAGTCCTCTCCTGCTGATGTTCAGGTGTATATCAGTATGTAGTGTCTCTACTTTAAAGAGTCCTCTCCTGCTGATGTTCAGGTGTATATCAGTATGTAGTGTCTCTACTTTAAAGAGTCCTCTCCTGCTGATGTTCAGGTGTATATCAGTATGTAGTGTCTCTACTTTAAAGAGTCCACTCCTGCTGATGTTCAGGTGTATATCAGTATGTAGTGTCTCTACTTTAAAGAGTCCTCTCCTGCTGATGTTCAGGTGTATATCAGTATGTAGTGTCTCTACTTTAAAGAGTCCTCTCCTGCTGATGTTCAGGTGTGTATCAGTATGTAGTGTCTCTACTTTAAAGAGTCCTCACCCTCCAGTTCTCCAGCACTGTGTGAAGCTGCGTCAGTTTTCTCTGATCCAGATCCAGAACTTTCTCTCGAGTTGAAGAGTGAGTGAAAAGATATTCCAGATAATCGAGCGCCAGATCCGGTTTACTCTCGATCTTTTCCATGATCTGAACCTTCTTCCTCTTCACGTTCCCCTTGTCCTGAAGTGAAACAAAAGAGGGACCAATGAAAACGTTGTCATGTTGCCGTTGTTCAGCATGGAAACATTCATTAGCTAACAATGACATTATTGTTCTATTAATATAAAGGGAGGTCAGGTACTCTTTAAAACAGCTGCTAGTTATGGGTACTTTTTACTGAAGTACATTTCAAAGCCTCTTTACTTTCACTTGAGTAAAGAAGTTTATTCAGTACTTCTACTTTCACCAGAGTATTTTTAAACACGAGTATCTGTACTTCTACTTGAGTAAAGGATGTGTGTACTTTCACATCTCTGAGTATAACTCCAGTCAGTGTTGGTGTTGCGTTCACTGACCGGTTGTTGTGGCAGGGCCTCAGAGAGCCAATTGGTGACGAGTTCAAGGACGTCTGCAGCCTGGCCCCAGCCGCACATGCAGTCTAACAGCTGGCTGAAGTTTGCACTCGTCACTCCAGACTCCATCTTCCTCAATCTGGATAAAACGCCACAGCTGGAAACAGATATCAGGACAGGTTAGACAGCGACACAGAGAGTGAGAGGAGATCTACTATTACCGTATTGACCCGAATATAAGACGGGTTTTATTCCTAGAAAACAATCTGAGAAAGAGGGGTCGTCTTATATTTGGGGTCTCGACTTTTCGATGTAATTACACAGTCACACCACCAGATGGCGCCAAACGAGCGTTCCCCCAAGAGAGGTCTTAAAGTAACACTTCAACAGGAGAGAGAGAGATGGAGAGACACAGAGACCAACTCCAACACAGTGGATCAAAAGTAGGCGAGTTAATAAACAAGAGAAGTTACGACGTCAATTTTAAGATAATGGTGATCAACGAAGTCATCAAACATCTGTCGAGCAGCAAAGAAATATGGTGTTTCTGAGAGTCACGTTAGAAGATGGAGAGCCCAAAAAGACCGCTTTAAAAATGCAAAAAGTCAGAGAAGAGCAGTCCGGTCCGCAAAGGTATTTTTCCAAAAATGAGTCTTGAAAGAGGGGTCGTCTTATTATCAGAGTCGTCTTATATTCGCGTCAATACGGTATTTCACGGCCTTGGTAAATACTCGATTCTGATTGGTCGATTTGGACATTTCAGAGGGTCTGTTATTTTTCGCTATCTGACTGTTGCTAGGCAGAACAGACAGTTGGAAATGGGTTAAAAGACAGAGCGCTGGACGTTAGAGAGAGTAAACACTAACGGGAACAACAGAAAACAGACTTTTTCAAACTGACAAAACACTGTTCCTCAATCAAATCGTACAAAAAACGCCACATTTATCGGCTGTTTTGTAGCTGCTTTTCCCTGTGTGTTTGATATCCAATTTGTATTAACTTATTTGTTTGTCGTTGCTATTGAATTCACGTTATTTGTTTGTAGATTACCTTATTTATGTGGAGTAGATGCACACCCAGTGGGTTTTCTGCTTCTTCTTGCAACATCTGTTATGTTTGTGTAGTTTTAATTGTGCATTAAATAAACAAAATAAAAACCGTGTAACAAAAGATGTGAAATGTACCTTCAGACCTGCTTTTAATCTGTAATTAATGTTGATTTTTATATATTTTAAGTGTCGTTTTAATGAATTTGAAGTCTGTAAAGTGTCTGAGTTTCTAGAAAGGCGCTCTATAAATAAAATGCATTATTATTATTACCTGAATGTTGGCACTGCAGCAGGAGGCATTAAAGAGGCCATTTGGATGAGAGGAACGGTGCATCGTTCATCCTGTAAATACAAATAAAATACAATTTACTCATGGAGGAAACACTTCAAGTCTTAATAAATCACATGAGAGTTAGTAGACGTACATCAAAGGCGTGGAAATACTTAGAGATGACATTTCCAAACTTGGCGAATGTGTATTTCTTCGCCTCTTGGTTTTGTTTCAGGTTTTTCTCCACACTCCTCCACAGAATCACCACAACCTCCAGCAGGCCGGACACCACGGCCCTGTCCTTCCCCAACAGAGGCTCCGCCTGCTGGGATACAATGCTCCAGTTAACTCACACACACAATGCATGATTTCAACTCAGATATATTTCAATTTCAAGGCTTTATTGTCATTTGCACAGCAGCTACAGTGCAGTGCAGATATGGAGATGAAAAACTCCTCCAACAAGGCAACATATATAATGAAATACAAAAATACAAAATAGTGCAAATGTAAATAGAATATGATATGTACAAGAACAGAATATGAAATTAAATAATGTACATTAAGACACAATTAAATACGGTTTATTGCGGCGATAACTATTTAGATAGATAAGTAAATGACAGGTTATATAGAGTGCCACAGTGACGCGTCCTAAAACCCGGAAGTAAGTTAGCATTTGACCACTTCCTGTTCCCTCGACAAAAAAGCAATGCAATCTCTCCATAGGATTTAGGAAGATATCTGAAATAAGGTCTGTGGTTGAGACGCATTGAAGAGACGGATCACGTTTTGTTCTACGACATTAAACACATCAGCAGTGACCCCACTGGTGATTTCTGAAGAGTTGACGTGTCTGAAAAACGATGGTTGTTACCAAGTGGCTGAATAGGACTACAGAAGTTGTGGAGGTCGTTGTACGTCAGGACCATTCAATTGGCTGAACCCGGCCCCGGGGTGATATTTACTGGCCCTTTGAGTATAATGTTAAAAAGTAATCTATCCTTTATTCCAGAGAGGGCGTTACATTGAGAGATAGAGGGGAAGACATTGCCTGAAAACTTCGGCGGGCTCGGGTTTCGAACCCACCTACTAGCTACTGTCGTGACAACTCCTGTCATTGATTGCATCTCTGCGTGAATGATTAGATCCTTTCACCTACATTAAAGTGGACCTATCATGCTCTATTATAATAATATAGTGTAGGACCATACCTATATAAGGCATATTTATACTTTTTTTTTTTCAAAATACCAAACAGATCATGCATTTTAGCCATGCCTCATTTCGCTCAATTTGACAATTTCTTAGATCTGTTTTAGCAAGGGCTGATTCAGTGAGAACAGCACCATCTACTGGCCTGGCATATGTACTACAGCGTCTCCAGCGCTTTCGAACGGCAATGGCCGTGGCTGTCTCCTCCTGATTGGTGGAGTTGGCCCAATAGCCGTAGCGCCACCGTCCTGACGTCAGGACAGTGTTCAAATCTGGATCAGTTTTTATCAGATCCGTTGCAGCCCCTTTTTTAGAGATTTGGGTATGGAGGAAAATAGAGAGGGTTGTGTTTTCTGACACTTGGTGAGTTCCCTGGAACACCGGGGACACATATTCATGTAGAAAAGACGTACACAAGTGCATTTTGCATGATAGGTCCCCTTTAAATCAAATGAAATGATGTTGATGGTTAAATCAGCTTCACATGTAGGCCTACTGAGTTCTGAACTTGCCATTTAGATCTAAAAAGGCCTTGGGGCGATGTTTGATTTAGTGAAACACAATATATGCACTCCACTATGCTGTTGTAGTGTTTCCTGTATCTGAAGCTCTTAATATGATCGCTCATATTTCAAGCCATCTAAACAACCATGCGCTCTTTCAACACGTCACCTTCAAAATGTAATTAACTTAAAAAGTGCCACTACATTAAGATGACAACACACTACTTTAAGACTCGTTAGATGTGTATCTTAAAATGAAATGAGAAATGAAATGAGTGAGTTAATCGATCGACACGCAAAGACTTTTCAAATGTGAGACGACACAGATTGCGGTCGTTGAATGCGTGTTTGATAAAACGAGAGGAAACAACTAATCAATGAATCGATCGACACCTGAAGATTCTGAAATTGGATTACTTGTTCCTTCTCTTTAGAAAGAACATCTTAAATGTACATAGCTCAGTGATGACAACGCGAGATTTGGGAGTGTTTCTTACAGATTTTAGTCCATTTTAAACATTTTGACGACTGAAAATAGTTCTCAAAGTGGATTTTTGTGGAGATATATCGTAATAAAAGTATATAAATTAGATTTAAGAACTGTTCTGTGTACCAATCAATCCTCAAATTAAATACAAAGTTAAATCCCAAGTCAAATGCACGTTAAAGCATCTTGAATATGTTATGTTTAATGTCTGTTTCCGTGTATCGTGTCTTAAGGTGTCCTCCTTGATGTTTCTTACTGCGCTGTTCTCCTTGTTGCTGTCGTTGATCTCAGACAGGTCGCCTTGGGTCTGGATGCAAGAGTTCAGAATGCGGCGAATCGCCAACATCAGCTTTACTGGAAGAGGAGACAAAACACAACATCAAGAACTTACACTTTGTATTTAACTCAGATTCTGCTGGATCAGAATGAAATAGAAATAGAATAAAATATGTGCAGTAATAAAAAAAACATGATATTGTATACATACAAAAAAAGTCAGGCCCCCCCCCACACAAATAGTCACGTAATGGCCCAAGTTAACATTTATTAAAATACATCAATATGAACGTGAGCATTCCTTTCAAAACAAATTTAAAAAATCCCTTTGCTAGAACAATAACACAGACACACACAGTCACACACACAGTCACACAGACAGTCACACAGACACAGTCACACACAGACACACACAGTCACACAGTCACACAGTCACACACACACACAGACAGTCACACACACAGTCACACAGTCACACACAGTCACACACACAGTCACACAGTCACACACAGACAGTCACACAGACACACAGACAGTCACACACACACAGACACAGAGACAGTCACACAGACACAGTCACACAGACACAGTCACAGTCACACAGACAGTCACACAGACACAGTCACACACACAGTCACACACACAGACAGTCACACAGACACAGTCACACAGACACAGTCACACACAGTCACACAGACAGTCACACAGACACAGTCAGACAGACACACAGTCACAGTCACACACACAGACAGTCACACAGACACAGTCACAGTCACAGTCACACAGACACACAGACACAGTCACACAGACAGTCACACAGACAGTCACACACAGACAGTCACACAGACACAGTCACAGTCACAGTCACACAGTCACACAGACACACAGACACAGTCACACAGACAGTCACACAGACAGTCACACAGACACAGTCAGACAGACACACAGTCACACACACACACACACCTGATGTGGGTCTTAGCTAATCTGAACATTGAATACTGCTTTATATTTTTCTTCTTTCAACTTTATTTATCATTTTTTAGCATTACAATCTATGCCTTTTCTTTCTTAGTAATAATGTCAATAATAAGTGGATTCATTCAGACTCTTTTAATTTAATTTTAAGGCCTAAAAACGTTGATTTGTCCTGTTTCTTATTTGAACTGTGTTTATTATTGCTTGTTGGGTTAAAACACACACACACACACACTTACTGATGTTGGTGGGCGCGGTGTGTTTGTGTGTGTGTGTGTAGAACTTCCTGGCGGCGGCGGGGTTCATCTGGATGAGTGTGATGCAGCGGCCGCACCACTCCTTATCCGACTCGTTCACGGGGAAGAAGGACTTGAAAAGTAGATCCACGATGCGCTTCGACGCGGAGAACGAGGCAATGGCGAGGCGAGCGAGAAGATGATCCATGCTGCACACGGACCAGAACTACAGAGAGGAGACAGAGAAGATGATCCATGCTGCACACGGACCAGAACTAAGAGAGGAGACAGAGAAGATGATCCATGCTGCACACGGACCAGAACTAAGAGAGGAGACAGAGAAGATGATCCATGCTGCACACGGACCAGAACTAAGAGAGGAGACAGAGAAGATGATCCATGCTGCACACGGACCAGAACTAAGAGAGGAGACAGAGAAGATGATCCATGCTGCACACGGACCAGAACTAAGAGAGGAGACGGAGAAGATGATCCATGCTGCACACAGACCAGAACTAAGAGAGGAGACAGAGAAGATGATCCATGCTGCACACGGACCAGAACTAAGAGAGGAGACAGAGAAGATGATCCATGCTGCACACGGACCAGAACTAAGAGAGGAGACAGAGAAGATGATCCATGCTGCACACGGACCAGAACTAAGAGAGGAGACAGAGAAGATGATCCATGCTGCACACAGACCAGAACTAAGAGAGGAGACAGAGAAGATGATCCATGCTGCACACGGACCAGAACTAAGAGAGGAGACAGAGAAGATGATCCATGCTGCACACGGACCAGAACTAAGAGAGGAGACGGTACCTTAGCAGCTCGCACAGCCTTCACTTTAATGAGCATGTCGAGGAAAGCGATGCGGACTTTCTCCGAGTTGTCGTGCAAACTGTATTTCAGAGTCGGGAGCAGCTTCTCCAGGATGGGATGGCTGAGGCTGTTGTCCAGCACGATGATGAGACACTGAGGGAAACAAAGAGTCATTCAAAACATGCAAAAACTCAAAATCTTGCCAAGTTTATCCGTCTAATATTTACTTTGATTATTTACCTTGAAGACGGAGCAGCGGACGTCAGGAGAGCTCGAATCGAACGCCAGCTCCATCACAAGCTTCTTCAGGAAGTCGGTGATAATGGCGGCAGGAAGCAGCTCCCAGTATTTAGCCAGGATCTTACACACTCCTAAGATGGCGTTGGAGCGAACTGTGGGGTGAGGATCATCCAGGAGCACCTGAGGAGGAGAGGGGAGGGTTTCATTAGAGGTTAGTTTGAATTCAAGAGGATTTATTGTGTTTTCTGTGTAGGTTTTTGTGCATGTAAAGCAGGGGTGTCAAACTCAAATACACAGTGGGCCAACATTAAAAAATGGGTACTAGTCGAGGGCCGGACTGGTTCAATGTTTATTGCAGAACTTATTGAAATGAACTTATTGGGTCTTGAGGGCCCTTTTGAAGGCGTCGAGTGTGGGGATGTGGCGAATCTCCGCAGGGAGAGCGTTCCAGAGGGTGGGGGCTGCCACACTGAAGGCTCTGTCCCCGAAGGTTCGCAGTTTGGTGCGGAGGATGGTGAGCAGGCCAGAGTCTGAGGACCGCAGGTTCCGGGGTGGGGCATGTGGGTGAAGGATGTCCGATAGGTACTGGGGGGCAAGGGCTTGGAGGGACTTGTAGGTGAGGAGGAGGACTTTGTAAGATATACGGGACTTGACCGGCAGCCAGTGGAGGTGGATGAGGGTGGGAGTGATGTGCTGCCATGGCTTTGTGTGTGTGAGTACCCTAGCAACACAGTTTTGGACACACTGGAGCCTGTCCAGGGTTTTTTTGGGAACCCCGAACAGGAGACCATTGCAGTAGTCCAAGCGGGAGGTGACAAATGCATGTATTAGGGTTTCAGCAACCGATGTTATTAAACCTGGAACTAACAAAGCTTAAATGATTGCCTATAAAAACAACATTAAACATTAAATAATCAGTTGCATTCATTTCTTATGGCTCAATCTGCAGCTTCTCCAGAGTCATTTCTTATGATTACATTTTTCCTCAGGCCAACAACAGCTTCAAGAAAACACTTTCCCTCAAAGAACAAACCAAACATGCCCTGTTGTCGTGAGAGAAAGTGCAGAAGGAAACATCCATGTAAACTCAGTGTGCTGCTCTGTGATGCTAGCTCAGATACTTGGCATCTCATCTTGGGTGCAAGTTCATCAATGTTTGGGGTCAGGCTCTGAGCTGAGGAGACCCTCAGGATGGAGTGAAGGTGTGCGTGCAATATACCGGCGGGCCAGATCTAATAGTAATTAGATTAAATCCACCTAGTCTAGTACTAGTCAGTGATGTTAACACAAAAGCAAGTTCATTTATTATATAGAACGCAAAGTATAGTGCCTTATTTATCAGTAAGGATGAAAATATAACGGATTATTGTGACATGTGATAGTCTGCAACAACATGCTAATACCTAGAAAACACACTTCAAATCTAACATCAGGGAGCAGAATATTTGGCTTTTTTTTAATGTTTTCTGTGCTTTTACTTCAAAAACCAGTTTCCTCTCAAATAAAGCGTTTTTTAAAAAGCTCTCACCATGACCGTGTCCAGCTGCTTCTGAATGGCCTCGTCTGTGCTCGTCTTGTTGCCACTTTCCATGTCAAGCACCGGGAAAGCTTCGGTGAAAAGCAACGTGGCGTTCGCTCGCACCTCGAAGTTTGGCGCCTGAAGAAATCAAACAGAAATGAGTCTTGAAAACAAAACTAAAAAGAACAGAAAGGTAAATAAACGTTGATGCGTACACTGAGAGCTTTCCACAGAATGGGCTTGTAGAGATTGGAGAGCATCTTGTCCACTTTGGGACGGCCTTTCCTCGAGTGGAAGTAGCTCACGATCTGCAGAGAACACACATATTATTCTGTGAAAACATTTAATGTCATGTCACATAAACTGTATACATATTTTTATATATTTCTGTATTCGGGATTGTGGGAAACGGTATTTCGATCTCTCCGTACACACAAACAGAAAGACTGACCTTTCGGACTTTGCCGTAGACAGGAGAGGATCTGTGGAGTAAGATGGCGTTCTGCATTAAATCCTGAACGCAGGAGCTCTCCATCTTCTCCAGGAAATCACCGCCGGCTTTCTTCCACGCTCTGAAGTAGATCTCAGCGATATGAGCCGTTACCACCCTGCACAGAACGACGATTGGAAAATGTAAGAAGTAGAAAGTACAGGTATTTGTGTTCAACATGTAAGAAGTAGAAAGTACAGGTATTTGGGTTCAAAATGTAAGAAGTAGAAAGTACAGGTATTTGTGTTCAACATGTAAGAAGTAGAAAGTACAGGTATTTGGGTTCAAAATGTAAGAAGTAGAAAGTACAGGTATTTGGGTTCAACATGTAAGAAGTAGAAAGTACAGGTATTTGTGTTCAACATGTAAGAAGTAGAAAGTACAGGTATTTGGGTTCAACATGTAAGAAGTAGAAAGTACAGGTATTTGGGTTCAACATGTAAGAAGTAGAAAGTACAGGTATTTGTGTTCAACATGTAAGAAGTAGAAAGTACAGGTATTTGTGTTCAAAATGTAAGAAGTCAAAGTAAAAAGTGGTCAGAAAAATAAGTAGTGGAGTAAAGTACTGATACCAGAAACATGTACTTAAGTACAGTAACGCAGTATTTGTTCTCCACTACTTCCCACCTCTGAGAGTGACTCACATGCTCAAGAACTCCAGCTGGTTCTTGATGGTGCCGTGGATGACCGAGATTAAGTTGATGTTCCAGCTGAAGAGAAACACCAGGAAGCGTTTTCCCTGAGAGGAAACACACACACATCGTCACACATCGTCAAACACCACACACACACACACACACACACACACACACACACACACACACACACACACACACACACACACACACACACACACACAGCACACACACACAACACACACACACACACACACACACACACACACACACACACACACACACACACACACACATCACACACTACACACACACACACACACACACACACACCACACACACACACACACACACACACACACACACACACACACACACACACACACACACACACACACACACACACACACACACACACACACACACACACACACACACACACACACACACACACACACACACACACACACACACACACACACACACACACACACAACACTGAGGACACACACACACATCGTCAAACACTGAACACACACACACACACACTGGAACAGAAAGTGAACTCACGTCGTCGTTCCGGAGGAAAGCCGGGTGCTGGAAGCACTTCAGCAACAGATCCATCACCTGCTTGTTGTCTTCTGACGTGTAATCCAGACCCAGGAGAACCTCCCGGAGACTACACACTCTCTGGATCTCTGTACCCTGAACACACAGAAGCATTTCAAATAAAAACTAGAACTGTCCAAGAACGATGCTCCCCTTGAATCTAAATGAGTGTAATATCTTCCACAAAGCCTTTTTAATAATGTCTAATGTAGTCAATAAGCTCTACGACAGACTGTGTGATCTTAGACTTTATGAGTGGCGTGTTTCCATGCTTTAATGTTCAGAAAGGTGTCCTAATACTGACCGGCTTCTTCAGATCTAAGCTTTTCGTCAGAGCGATGATCATAGCGCTGCGACCGAACGTTTCCTTCTCCTTCAGATCTTTCTTCCACCAGGCGTCACACAGTCTGAGGATCTGGACCTGCAGCGGAGCTTCAGAGACCGGCTGCAGCTCCAACATATCTGAGAGAATCACACAGATAAATATGAACTGTTGGGGAAAAATAACAATCCGTCTGAAGACAGGAGGAGGAATTAGAAAGGACTCTTACCATGCAGCCTGTGGATGATTTCCAGAAGAGAACTGTAGGTTTCTCCGTCCTGCAGAACCTTTAGGGACTCAGCAGCCACCAGAGTAACACCGCCCACTACAGACCTCACATGATTCTGCAAGAACAGGGAAGAAAACTGGATGTTAACCAAGTTTTTAGGAACCAAAACGCTTAGTAATGCTGAACTTCAGAGCTAAAAAAAGCAGCAGAACATCAGATTTGAGTTCATGCGAGAACATAAACGGTGCATAAACTACAGTGAACTCACGGGGTCTGCAGCTGCCTCCACCTCCATGGCCACCTCCATGGCCTCCTCCCTTCCCTCCTCTCTCCTTTCCTCCCTCCCTTCCTCTCTCCTCCCCTCCTGCAGAACGTCCTGAAGAAGAGAGGACAGTTTCCCCCACAGCGTCTGCCTCTGGTCTCTGTTCATCTCCTGCAGAACTTCCTCCACATCGAAGGGCTCCGTCTTGTTCCTCTGCTCAGAAAATCAGAATCAAAATCAGAAATACTTTAATTATCCCGGAAGGAAATTGGCTTTTATGACAGTTATTCAATTTTAATAAATATAATGGCGACACTCAGATGAACGAGACACTAAACACTAGATCTGTGACTAGAATAGGACTTTTTATTCCTAGTATATACGACTTAAAACAATACATTTGATACACTTTTGAAAACTATTGAGTAAAATACACATTGAAATAGCTGCTAGATTGTATGTGCTTTATTTACTTATTTGGGTACTTTTGATCCCTTAACTAACTCATTAACTAACTTCGGGCTCTATATATGTAATGTTAACGTATAATATACATTAGACAATGAATTAAACAACAATATTTGCAGAAATTCTTCACAAATTGTCTCTGTACTACTTCGCAACTTATTGTTTTGTGCATTTAGTTTCCAGTTTAGATGCAGTCATGTAGCCCTGCAGGTTATACGTTAGCAAAACAGTAAAAACCTTCACGTATTACTGAGTATTTCTGTCATTTGAGGCTGCAGTTAATTGTGCTATTTTCTAAATAGTTAGCATGATATGTGGATTTTACCATATCAGCATGTCATGTCTATTTATAGTAACTATGAGTGTTAAAATAAATGCAGTGGATTAAAAAGTGCATTATTCACGTCTGAAATATAGTGGAGTAGAAGTACTAAGTAGCATTAAATGTAAATATTCATGTGAAGTTCAGTACTTAAGTAAAGTATACAAGTATGACATTAACCTAGGTTACATCCGGGACCTTTCTGATGTAGTTTATATGGAGGTTATATGAAGTTACTCACATGAAGCTGAATAAAGCGGAGGAACTCGTCCACATTCTCCGTACAGCAGGACTCCAGAAAAGCCTCTCGCTTCGACATGTTTGTGGTTCTCCAAAAGACGTGAAACACGAATATTCCTGCAATAAACACACAGAAGAGCAGCTAAATGCTAACGAAACAAGCATCACAACACCAGCGACAGAATCAAAACAAACGGCTCAGCTAGAATTCAGCGTTAAAATACTTATTTTTACACGACTTTATATGATTCTAATCGTTGCTCCTTATGTTAAAGTGTATTACGATTATTAAAAAGTATGACATATGATCCAAAAGCGTCTACAATTACCTTTTTATTAATAATTCTGTGATCCGACAGCCGCTGAACGACAGCCTGCCATAAGAGCCCGCGCAAATTCGGATAAAACGCGTCATGACTTTTACTGACGCTGTGACGCTGACGTAAATTGTAGTTCTACGTCCTATTCTGTAGTTCTTGTTCTTTTGATGGTTTTTAGAGGCGGTTGGCATCCAAACGTTGCATGGCCGCCTCATCCTGGAAAAATAATTAACTACCTTTTCCAACAAAAACTATTATAACTAAGGGTAAATACTAATGAAGGGAAATTAATTAAACATAATTAAGCTAAACTATTTTACAACTATTATCTCGAAGTCGAATAGTCCAAAAAACAGCCCCTAGTCTATCCCTTGACCTCTGTGTGAAACGTCACAGGGTTAAGGAATAGTGGATAGGAGAATTCAAAAGGATTTAGGAGAAGAGACTACGGTGCTTTGAGAATCCGACTGCACTTTCAATATCCGACGTAGCCTATATGATGCGCCAGAAACGGACTACTATAAGCGCATCATTAATAAGCGCTGTTATTGTGTTGTTTTATGCTTTAACGTGTGCAACAGAGAAAAATATGTTGTTCATTAAGGTTGAAATTAAAACAAATAAGTCAAGTGAAAGAAAATCGTTGTCACATTGATAATTGTTGCTCACACTCAGTGGAGTCGGTGGGGGCCCTAGACAAACATTCACTGGGGGCCCCTTGAACCAGCTTTTCAACAGCACGCACAGCCGAGACAGCACCCCCCCCCCCCCCCCAAAATCATTATTTTGCATTTATAGCAGAAATATTGTTGAAAGTAACTGTTCTATTTAATAATTTAAAAAAAGGTGCTATGACATGTGGTGCTTTTGGGCATCTTGTAATCAGCTCTGATAGGCTGTTAGTGGATATATTACTAAGTCAATGTTCCCTTTTATGTAAAGTGCTTGTTTATTGAAGCACTGTTTGAGTGCTATCCAAATCATCTACTGATATACACCTGAACATCAGCAGGAGAGGACTCTTTAAAGTAGAGACACTACATACTGATATACACCTGAACATCAGCAGGAGAGGACTCTTTAAAGTAGAGACACTACATACTGATATACACCTGAACATCAGCAGAGAGGACTCTTTAAAGTAGAGACATTACATACTGATATACACCTGAACATCAGCAGGAGAGGACTCTTTAAAGTAGAGACACCACATACTGATATACACCTGAACATCAGCAGGAGAGGACTCTTTAAAGTAGAGACACTACATACTGATATACACCTGAACATCAGCAGGAGAGGACTCTTTAAAGTAGAGACACTACATACTGATAAACACCTGAACATCAGCAGGAGAGGACTCTTTAAAGTAGAGACACTACATACTGATATACACCTGAACATCAGCAGGAGAGGACTCTTTAAAGTAGAGACACTACATACTGATATACACCTGAACATCAACAGGAGAGGACTCTTTAAAGTAGAGACACTACATACTGATATACACCTGAACATCAGCAGGAGAGGACTCTTTAAAGTAGAGACACTACATACTGATATACACAATTTAGTGTTTTCACAACAACTTAAACATTTATTTCTTTTTAACAAGCTCTGACAATAAATTGATAAGTCGCTCATTCTGCTCATAGAGCGCTGCATCACGGGCCTCCTCCTTCTCTGCCTGCTTTTTCAGGAAGGCCAACACGCTGCTTCTTCGCCTTGGCCTTTTAGTTGGTGGTTGGGAGCTGGTGGAGGGCACGGACTGCTCCTCACTGCTGAGGGAAACTTGGGAAGGCCCTTCTCCAGCAGAGGTGGAGGCCTCAGCAGCAGTCTGGCCATGGCTTGACAACGGGCATGAGGCAACTAGGGTGGGAGGCTGAATTGATGGCCATCCCCCAATTGCCTCATGCATGGCCTCAAACCATGGCCAGGTAGCTGCTGAGGCCTCACCCCGGTCTGTTCTTGTCCCAGTTGGGGGATCCTTTAACTCCTATTGACACCACAGAGAACAGACTGTTAGTTAAAGGGCAGTGGAGGCAAAATGCACAGCAAAAGACAAATTAAACAAATTCTAAATGTGTAATTGCTTACGCCTTAAAATGTTAAAAAGTCTAAACAACTAAGCAAATTCACATTTTAATATAGGCGGCTGGGGTCGCCAGTTGAAGTCTGTATCATAATATCTACAAACAGTGCGCAGCCATGTGATTGGCCTTACCTTGTATTCTGTTATCAGGTTGTCCCATTTGTTTGATGCATGTGGACCAGTCACCTGACCCTCCAGACCCATCTCTTTAACAACCTGCCTTTAGTTACAAATTATCATTGGCATGCACATTTATTAAAACATTTTAACAGACAAATATAGGTGTACTACTTACTCCCAGCCTGATTTGGCAGCATTTCGTTTGCCACTGAACAGGTGCTCCATTTTAACCCTTGCGTTAATTAGGGCAAGGGTTTCAGCATCTGTGACTGAGATAAATACATCAGATTAGGCTTGCATGGAACAACGCTGGAAACTAAAGTATTTAGGCAAGTTATGGCTTAAGAATGTAAAAGTTTAAGAGAGCAGCGGTAATTTACATGATCTTCGTGTGTCTGTCATAATGACGATCGTGTTTTCCGTGAACGACCGAATATTCCCTCGCCTTAAATGCTGCGGCCGCGAGGCATTGTGGGGCAGCACTTTCCAGTGTTTCCTAAACTAAAGGAGGTTATAAAGGAAGTTTGAAACCTCCTTTCCTATCACATTCTAGAGAATTGAGACGGCTCTTATCATGACTGCCACTGAGGTACTTCTGGGTCCTTTCACTCCGTTAGGAAGGTTCAAAAAGCTTTATTAGAATGATCATGACAGTTGTAGTTCTCATTTTCGACCACATGATGGCGACAAATCACTGCGTATATTTCCCAGTGTGGCGTCTTCACCAGATTTAAACGTCTATTCATATTTATTCTGCAGGAAATGTACCTTATTGATATGTTGTGCTATGTTTTGACTTTACCTACTTTGCTGTATTCCTCTACACCACCTAATGTTACAGTGAAATATGCTTATAGCCTTTTTTATTACACTATAATTATTGGATTCATTTTGTTAGACTGTTTTTTTAGGTTATTGATAAAAAACAAATGATATATTATATATATATATAACAATGAATTAAGTTGCCCAGCAGTATAAAAACCAGCATAACTTAATTTACATATTTATATATCTATCCTTATTTTTATAGCACATCTCATACAAAAAAGGTGCTTCACAAAACAAAAACAAGAATAAAAACAAATTTAAATTAGAATTAAATAAGAATTAAATAAAAAATATATGAATTTATAAAATGTAATTAAAACGCATATTTTGGACTTTAACTAAATAATTATGCTTATATGAACTTAAGTACCATTTTAAATGCAATAAATTGACTTGTAAAATCGTATTTATTGCCTGTTTTATTGCTAATTAACATCTGCATATTCCCCACCACAGATAGCATGTATTTAAAGTGGAAATAACTCATAAAGATATTGGATTGAAAGACAGAAACCAAGCGAGACATTTTCCACAAGAGAAAACATTTATTCCTCAAAACCCCCGAGGCGTCATTTCATTCAAAATAATAATAACATTAAGAAGGCAAAAATTACACCGCGGGTTTATTTAAGGCACAGGATCGATAACAGGTATTTAAAACGTCCAACGGTACAAACCTCACAACTTAACTCAGTCCTCTTCAAACGGCTGCTCACATTATTCACGATTGGTTTGAACGCCAATCAAAACACTTATTCAAGTATCCTTCATTTCACACTTTAGCACTTGTTCATAGCCCTAAAACGCCCTCCTTCACTTACATCCTCGTAAAATATACAGTGCAATCATTTTACTCTTTGCATATGTGCATTCCTTGTGTATAATCAAGCATAAATAACAACAATACGGAGGACGACCACCGTACAATTAGAGGTAAACAATCAAATAACACTGCATGACAAAATAAATATCGCTACGTTTGTGTTTGTTTCCGTTCCTTTGGTACGAGTTCTCAAACAGAATTGAACAAATGGGACAGACGGTAATAACCAGGTTGACATATTTCAATATAATGCCACAAAGCCCCTGCAAATCATTATATTATCAACTTCTTATTTACATAAAACACCGGAGACAAGGCAGTTAGTGAGTTTCAAACGCATCGCAATCTGTACCAGGATGAGGATGAGATGGGAGATGTTGTTGCATGCTGACATGAGTCCTGGGATGAGTTGAAAAATGTACATAAATAAAACATGTGCCCTTATATAATAACAAGATGTCTATATTACAGCAGGAACGGGAGAGTCCATTATGAGAGGAGGGGGTCGTGAATACTTCTTAAGCTTTGAGACGACACGCCGTCATCACTCAGATCATACCTGCAAGAGAAAACGTATATTTAATAACAAAAATACGTTTTTTTTTATTAGCTGAATAAATCACTTAAATCTGCAGATTAAGTAAATTACCATTGCGTCCATCCTTTAGAGATATCCTCCCCACTTAAATCTACAAGTACCTGCAATTTAGAGCAAAAGATGTGACGTTTTTTTATTATTCTGAGTGTTTAAGAGTCGCTTTAATGCAGGAGAAGTACATGTAATAAGAGTTACCTTTCCCAGAAAGCCTTTGTGTTTGGACAGGATGCTTCCTCCATTCTTCACGGCTACATCAAGAGTCCTCCTGTGGAGCTCCACCATAGAAACACTGAACTCAAACCTGCAACACAAGATAAAAAAAGCTCCATATTATCAACCTTTCAAGCTCTTTAAAGAGTCCTTGATGTTCAGGTGTATATCAGTATGTAGTGTCTCTACTTTAAAGAGTCCTTGATGTTCAGGTGTATATCAGTATGTAGTGTCTCTACTTTAAAGAGTCCTTGATGTTCAGGTGTATATCAGTATGTAGTGTCTCTACTTTAAAGAGTCCTCTCCTGCTGATGTTCAGGTGTATATCAGTGTGTAGTGTCTCTACTTTAAAGAGTCCTCTGCTGCTGATGTTCAGGTGTATATCAGTGTGTAGTGTCTCTACTTTAAAGAGTCCTCTCCTGCTGATGTTCAGGTGTATATCAGTATGTAGTGTCTCTACTTTAAAGAGTCCTTGATGTTCAGGTGTATATCAGTATGTAGTGTCTCTACTTTAAAGAGTCCTATCCTGCTGATGTTCAGGTGTATATCAGTATGTAGTGTCTCTACTTTAAAGAGTCCTCTGCTGCTGATGTTCAGGTGTATATCAGTGTGTAGTGTCTCTACTTTAAAGAGTCCTCTCCTGCTGATGTTCAGGTGTATATCAGTATGTAGTGTCTCTACTTTAAAGAGTCCTCTCCTGCTGATGTTCAGGTGTATATCAGTATGTAGTGTCTCTATTTTAAAGAGTCCTCTCCTGCTGATGTTCAGGTGTATATCAGTGTGTAGTGTCTCTACTTTAAAGAGTCCTCTCCTGCTGATGTTCAGGTGTATATCAGTATGTAGTGTCTCTACTTTAAAGAGTCCTCTCCTGCTGATGTCCAGGTGTATATCAGTATGTAGTGTCTCTACTTTAAAGAGTCCTCTCCTGCTGATGTTCAGGTGTATATCAGTATGTAGTGTCTCTACTTTAAAGAGTCCTCTCCTGCTGATGTCCAGGTGTATATCAGTATGTAGTGTCTCTACTTTAAAGAGTCCTCTCGTGCTGATGTTCAGGTGTATATCAGTATGTAGTGTCTCTACTTTAAAGAGTCCTCTCCTGCTGATGTTCAGGTGTATATCAGTATGTAGTGTCTCTACTTTAAAGAGTCCTCTCCTGCTGATGTCCAGGTGTATATCAGTATGTAGTGTCTCTACTTTAAAGAGTCCCTCTCCTGCTGATGTTCAGGTGTATATCAGTATGTAGTGTCTCTACTTTAAAGAGTCCTCTCCTGCTGATGTCCAGGTGTATATCAGTATGTAGTGTCTCTACTTTAAAGAGTCCTCTCGTGCTGATGTTCAGGTGTATATCAGTATGTAGTGTCTCTACTTTAAAGAGTCCTTGATGTCCAGGTGTATATCAGTATGTAGTGTCTCTACTTTAAAGAGTCCTCTCCTGCTGATGTGCAGGTGTATATCAGTATGTAGTGTCTCTACTTTAAAGAGTCCTCTCCTGCTGATGTTCAGGTGTATATCAGTATGTAGTGTCTCTACTTTAAAGAGTCCTCTCCTGCTGATGTTCAGGTGTATATCAGTATGTAGTGTCTCTGCTTTAAAGAGTCTCACGTTTGATCGTAAACAGGATTGAGGGTCCTCTTCATCGTGCTCGTCTTCCTCCTGCCTGTTCGACTCTTGTCCGGCAGCAGATAGAGGCGGATGAAGGGATCAGATCCATCTTTAGTGAAGGCGATCAAATTACTGAGGACACACGGGACAAAACTGTTTATATATATATATATATATACTGTGTCACATGGGCTATGACATCATCAGGGACCTACCTACCTACCTACCTACCGTTTAAATGTGAACAATCTGTTATATTGATCTTTGAGTGGTATGGGTAGTTAAACACTTGCAAAAAATGGGTTGCAACTGTCCCCAAGTCTCCCCTAACCCTCCCATTTCTGCTTAATGGTGTTTATTATAGCTCAAGACGTCGTCCACCCTGAAGAACATCTCCTCACAAATCACTATGAACGACAGGAACTTGGGCCAAAAAAGAAATTAGAAAAAGTCTTTGAGAACACCTTCAAACCTTCAAACCTTCAAAACAAGTCTACAATAAATCTCAGTGAAATCAGAAGGGGGGGGGGGGGGCTCATTTGCACCCTTTAAGTTGATTTATTAATTGCTATTATATATACTATTTTGTATGTTCTTTCCCACTATGACTATGTACGTCATTAAGTATGCTATTCCTGTCATGCTGTGTTTTTTCTTTATTATTCCTTGTTGGCTGTTCTGTTTGTCTTCTATGTTGAAAAAGGGAAGCGTGATTTCCACCCAAAGCAGTCTGTGCTGCTGCTGACACTCGTATGCTTCTGCTCAATAACACATATTTGAAATGTAATGAGATGTGAAAGCAGAGTATCTCACCGGCAGGCGTGCAGCACCACGATGAGTTTGTTCCTCTGGGAGCTGTGTCTGACCGTCAGCTGGACCTCACCCAGAGGGAACTGACCGGGAGCCGAGCCACTGGGGGGGGGAGAGAGGGGGGGGGGGGGGGGGGGGGGAGAGAGAGGGAGAGAGAGAGAGGAGGGAGAGAGAGAGAGGGGGAGGGAGGGAGAGAGGGAGAGACGATGAATTATACAGCAGGGACGGGTAAAATATTCATTAAAATACATATTGAAAGGATGCATGCTACCTGAGCAACCCAGTCTCACGGCATTTCGTGTTATTAGTCACGAAATTAATGTAATCTATTGATTCGTGTTCACCAACACGATTTTCACCTTTTTTTCGTGTCACACAGAACGATTTTAAATGCAATGTATTTCTATTGGTATGTTTCGTGCCTGCAACACGTCTTTTTGTCCGGTCGGGTCTTGGAAGACCAGAAGCTGTGTGGTTCATAAAAACATGTTCTTACTCAATATCTTACCCTAAGCCTAACCCTATCCCTTTTATTTTAAATTGTATAATGTCTGAGTTTTTTTGCCGTCAGTGAGGAAAAGAAATGGCTCAGAGCCTCAGAATACTGACATCTGTATTTGATGTCATCTTTTTTTCCTTCTAATTAGTTATTATTTGGTGCAGGCACGAAACATACTACCAATAGAAATACATTGCTTCTAAAATCGTTCTGTGTCAGAATACTTAAATCTGTATTTTTTTAAATGTCTTTTTCCTTCTAATTTGTTATTATTTACATTGCTTTTAAAATCGTTCTGTGTGACACGAAAAAAATGGCGAAATCGTGTTGGTGAACACGAATCAATAGATTCATTTCGTGACTATAACACGAAATGCCGTGAGACTGTGTTGACCTGAGGATCCTGCAGAAAACCTTTTCCTGGGATTGTTCACATTTGGAAGCTCATGTTTGTAATACCTCTCACTGTCTTTAAGAGTGGATAAAGTTCCAAACTGTTCAAATGTATAAAAAATAACCTTGAGACCAACATTAGTTTATCTGTCGCTGTGCTACATATCTAGCGAATTTAAGCTAACCAGCTAGCGGTGGCTGAATTGGTGGCTCTCATCATTTAAATTTGAATGAATATTTAACCCCCGATGGTTAGACTCGCAGTGTGGACCTGTGTCTACATTCAGGCAGTGAGAGTCATTCTTAAAACAGCTCCAAGCATCGCTGTAAATTCCCAAATATGCCTAATTATAAGTGTCTTTACTTAATAACAGTTCATTCAAAAGCTTAAACGCAGGTTATTTGGCAATTCAAGGTTTCCATTCAGCTCTAACCAGAAGCACCAACACATAATAAGACAATGTGAACGTGCCCTAGAGCAGCAGAGCGTAAAGGGAATTCAAATATTCAAATTAAGCGCAATACTTGGTATAAAGTGTAAATATTATTCTGGATTCTGCTGCAGAGACGCCGAGGCTTACAAACGCTAAGAAACGTCATTAAAACTCCTTGTTTGATACTGAAAATATCCCACTCTGATCATTTTAATCATGTTTTTTAACGATGATGTGAATATTGTTCCTGTAATATTGCAAATCATATTAACTTTGCAATATCAGGTAATTTAAATGAGTTCATTAGCATCACGGCCCCTGGTAGATCACGCACCCACGCACGCACAGCAATGAAAGGTGCTTTACAAATACAATTTATTATTATTATTATTATTATTATTGTTGTTGTTGTTTACTTCTGCAGCTGTCGGAGCCTCTGCTGGAGCTCCAGGGTGGCGAAGGGCAGCGAGATGTCGGAGGCGAGGCTGGCCGTAGAGTCTTTGTGAGAGAGATGCTTCTGAGAGATGTAGAGATTGTTGTTGTTGCTCCTCAGAGGACTCGAGGAGTACGGCTCTCCATCACGATGCTGCAGCGTCAGGGAGGAGATACTGAGGAGAGGAGGAGGAGGAGGAGGAGGAGGAGGAGGAGACACATCTTTACTCAAGTAGAAGTACAGATACTTGTGTTTAAAATACTCTGGTGAAAGTAGAAGTACTGACTAAACTTCTTTACTCAAGTCAAAGTAAAGAGGCTTTGAAATGTACTTCAGTAAAAAGTACCCATAACTAGCAGCTGTTTTAAAGAGTACCTGACCTCCCTTTATATTAATAGAACAATAATGTCATTGTTAGCTAATGAATGTTTCCATGCTGAACAACGGCAACATGACAACGTTTTCATTGGTCCCTCTTCTTTAGAGAAGACCAGGAAATGATGGATACACGGATCGTGTTCAAATCAATAGGCACGCAATGACTCTAAATAATAATGATCACGCCACCAGACACACATTCAAACTAAAGGAACCAGCTTGTTTGGAAAATGAGAGAAGTAGAAAGTACAGGTATTTGTGTTCAACATGTAAGAAGTAGAAAGTACAGGTATTTGTGTTCAACATGTAAGAAGTAGAAAGTACAGGTATTTGGGTTCAACATGTAAGAAGTAGAAAGTACAGGTATTTGTGTTCAACATGTGAGAAGTAGAAAGTACAGGTATTTGGGTTCAAAATGTGAGAAGTAGAAAGTACAGGTATTTGGGTTCAAAATGTAAGAAGTAGAAAGTACAGGTATTTGTGTTCAACATGTAAGAAGTAGAAAGTACAGGTATTTGTGTTCAAAATGTAAGAAGTAGAAAGTACAGGTATTTGGTTTCAAAATGTAAGAAGTCAAAGTAAAAAGTCGTCAGAAAAATAAGTAGTGGAGTAAAGTACTGATACCAGAAACATGTACTTAAGTACAGTAACAAAGTATTTGTACTCCACTTCTTCTCACCTCTGGATAGGAGGAGGAGTTGGAGGAGTTGGAGGAGTTGGAGGAGATAACTGGGAATGTGAGGCGGAGCGTCTTGGAGATGGCGTTGGTTTGGAGGTTTTGGGTTGAGGAACGCTCGACTTCCTGACCTGGACGGAGGACGGCAGGTCGGAGGAAACCTGCTTCTCCAGAGAGAGGATCTGCAAACCGGAGGAGATACAGAGAGTTATTCAAACAAACTACAGCTGGGATGATTTTGCACAACCTTAACCCTTGTGTTATTTCCCATCCAGCTCCCGAACTCAGGTCAAAATGAAGTGTTTTTAAAGAGGGGAGGGGCTCCTTATTTTCATCTAAAGTAACAGACAGAGAATCAGCACTTTGGAAACAGGGCTGAAACAGAGGGGATTATGGGTAATGCTGCAATGATCTGTTTGGTGTTTCAGCCAATCAGAGACAGGCTCTGGATATATCTGAGACCTGTGATATATTGATGAACAACAGTATAATAGGGGACCTTTAAAATCTCTTTTCCTGGAGGTTTCGTTAATATTCGCCTATTATATTTAGAAAATTAATTGACAATAAAAATGATTTTCGACGATTATTCAAGTTTATTTTTAGATTTTTGTGATATAAAGTAGAACAAATTATACCTGAATATTCTATGATAATTAAATGTTACATTATATTAAATATATATTTAATCAATCTTATAAAGTGGTCCTAAATCTGCTGATCCAGCTGAACATGTCGGGGTATTTTTGAGGACGTTCGTACAGCCTTTAAGGAGCCATCTGTCTGCTTCTCGAGCGCTCAATAACTGTTAAGCAATTTGGAAACCCGTTATGAATCCTGATGCGTTGGTTGTGATCCAATACACCATTTGAGTGTAGGTCAATGTTACGATATGGCAGCATTCGTTTCCTTATCTGATCAGAGGATGATTTAATACAGGAGGATGTTCAGTGTCAGAAAGGGCAATGCAATCAGGAGGTAACTGGAATGATTTAAGGTTGAACAGACGGTCAATATTAATCTGATCAGCTTCCTACTGTATAACGCCAAGAGTGGTAAAGGGATAGCTTTAAAATAAAATAGGATGTATGAGGTACTCATCTTTACTTCATTTTGAAACACAGCTCTCCTCCTGAAATGCTGCACATATATTCTTGTATTTTTTAAATAAGCTAAACCATTTCTATTTAATGTATGCAGCACACACACCAAAGCAAATGTGTTTTATGTGTGAACCTACTTATTAGTTTAGCATAGCATAGCATAACAACATGTAGCATAGTGTAGAATAGTATAGCATTGCATAGTATAGAATAATATAATATAGTATAGCATAGGATAGCAAAGTATAGTATAGTATTGTATAGTGTAGCTTTGCATTAGATGGTATAGCATAGCATAGCATAACAACGTGTCGCATAGTGTAGAGGGTTGCCAACTTTGGGTACCTGGCTGGAGTGAGATTTTGATATCATGGGTTTAATTCGGTTTAATTACACATATGCGCACGAAATGACTGCTATCGTGTCAGCAGCGGGACCTTAGCATATATATAGGATATATATACAATATATACAAATACACATTAATGGACACAGACTATAAAGGGCACACAGTTTCATTCACTAATGAAAGTCAAACATGTTTGTTTCCACTGTTTTATTGTGTGCCTGTCGCGATAAGCAATTAATTGACTTATCGTACGATAAATAAAAATGAACTCGATAACTTTTCTGACCTCGATAAATTGCCATTTACATGAGGATGTGACTAGCAGTTTGAAAGGATGTACTTGAATTATTATTATATATTATCATTATGTCAGTGGTCTAAAATGGTCATACAACGGTGCCGACAATATTATCGTTTATCGCAATAATTTCCGGGAAAATGTATCCAACAAAATTAATTATCGTGAGAGGCCTATACATGAAACACACACACACACACAAATCTACAGACTTACTCCAAACTGCCAAATATATTAATTAACACACTCTCACTCTCATATACTCTTTGACTCTATTTTGGCCTAGTAGAACAATAAGCAGCAGACTTTTACTTTTTTATCATTTCTACTGGATCTTAGATCTGCGCATGCGCTCCAGAGTATTTTTGTTGGGTAATCTATGGTAGGGCTAACCCATACAGTGGTGGGGCTCAAGTCAGTATTTGCAATGTAATTACATACACGCTCCCCCCGACAGTGAAACGCTACGCGTGAGGTTTAGATTATTTCCCTGTCTCAATCCAAATTGAAATGTATGAAATAAAAAGGCACATTTGTCTTGTAGTAAATAAAAGGGCGACCTGGAGCCAATCCTGCAATTTCCCCACAGGTGAAAGAGTTGACATGCTGAAAACCCAACCCCTGCAGGGGGGGGGGGGGGGGATTCTCCCCCAGGAGATTTTTTTAAATACTAACATAAAATACACATTCTGGTACTCTCTTGAGAAGAAATTTAAATAAATCTATTACTGCACATTTAAAAAAATGAATGCCATATTAGTTTTTTGTTACTTTGTTCTGAAAGCTGAACCTGCTGCTCCTCACAGAGAGAAGAGGGAAGAGGCTGTGTGAATTACTTTACATTGTGGATAAGGGTGGATAGCCCCCATTGTTCTGTGTGTCAAAATGAAAGACAGCCCACACACCTATCAATCATCAAACCGTGGGGTCTTATTTCATTACGTGTTGATTTCTATCAACACGTAATGTTGTATCGATGTATAGAGATGTACTACCGCAAAAGTATTCTCCGTCGGGACTTCCTGCAACAACACCACGCCGTTATCATGATTCTGATTGGCCAGAAGACATTATCAAAGATGTTCTATTGAGAAGACGATCACTGTGACAAAAGTTTTCAAAACCGTTTCTAGTCTTCGTATTCTTGTTTTTGGCGTGAGAATAGTTTGGGCAGCGTGAGAGCGTGAGATTGAGAGTGAAAGCGTGTGTCACACGCCAGATGCGTGAGAGTTGGCAACCCTGAGTGTAGAATAGTATAGCATTGCATAGCGTAGGATAGCTTAGTATAGCATAACATAGCCTAGTATAGTATAGCATAGAATAGCATAGTATAGCATAACATAGCCTAGTATAGAATAGCATAGTATAGCATAGTATAGCCTAGTATAGCATAGAATAGCATAGCAGAGTATAGCCTAGTATAGCATAGAATAGCCTAGTATAGCATAGTATTGCCTAGTATAGTATAGAATAGCATAGCATAGTATAGCATAGAATAGCATAGTATAGCATAACATAGCCTAGTATAGTATAGTATAGCATAGTATAGCATAGTATTGCCTAGTATAGTATAGAATAGCATAGCGTAGGATAGTTTAGTTTAGCATAGCATAGGATAGCTTAGCATAGCCTAGCATAGTATAGCCTAGCATAGTATAGTATAGCATAACATAGTCTAGTATAGTATAGTAAAATATAGGAGCATAGCGTAGGATAGCTTAGTTTAGCATAGCATAGCCTAGTATAGTATAGCCTAGCCTAGTATAGTATAGCATAGTATATCATGTTATAGCATAGCATAGTATATCATGGTATAGCATAGCATAGTATATCATGTTATAGCATAGCATAGTATATCATGTTATAGCATAGCATAGTATATCATGTTATAGCATAGCATAGTATATTAGTATAGTATTGTTTTTAATTTGGTGATGATTTAAAAAACTGTTTTGGAAAATTCCTTGGATGTTTAAACCTACTCTTTCTGACTCTTTCTGACAGAAGTACAGCATCGTGGCTAAAACCCTTTATTAAAGAGTTAGAAATAACAACCTTGCTTCTTTTAACTCCCGTCTGAAATCAAGAATTCCTCATTTCAAGGTTTATGAAGAACTTTAAGAGTTCAATCTTCCTTGTTATCGCTGTGCAGAAACCTTGACATCATGGCGTAGAAATGGAGCATCAGGATGAGATCATAATCTGTTACGAGGTTAATAAATCAGTTCCAGTTTACTGCATTGTGATGAATCAGCAGATCAGGAACATCTGTCCATGTTTCCTCTGACTGAACATCACTAAAGCAAGGCAGTGAGAGCAGGCTTAGGGAGAGTATTACAGTGTTAGCAAAAAAACGAGATATACTAATTATTACTATTTTGATGTGATAATTCCATCCTTCATTTTGTTTTTTATTAATATTATTATTATTTTTTAGCTCTGATTTTTTAGCTGTGATTGGTCAACCACTTAGAGATGTCCCGCCCCTCATACAATGACAGCCAATAGGAGCGCGAGTGTCCTGTAGTGATGTCTCTATGTTCCATAACACAGGGATTTGAGCCTTTGCAGACCGTTTACATGCACACAAACACCCCACAGGAGAGGGGAAACTCCAATTATTTTATATTATTACACCCCAATATGTTTTCAGTTAGTGCTGCAGTGTGTGTGTTTACCCTCAGAGCCATCCTCAGTTTGATGGTGGAGCTGGGTCCGGAGTTTTTGAGAGGAAAACTCTGAGTCAGCGTCATGTTTTCCTCCGTCAGCAGGCTGCTCAGAGACACCGTCAAATTACCCAGGGTGCACTTGTGCTTGTCATCTTTCATCTGTGCATTAAGAGCAATGGTGTGAGCAGAGATGGCAGAAGTACACACATCCTTTACTCAAGTAGAAGTACAGATACTCGTGTTTAAAAATACTCTGGTAAAAGTAGAAGTACTGACTAAACTTCTTTACTCAAGTAAAAGTAAAGAGGCTTTGAAATGTACTTCAGTAAAAAGTACCCATAACTAGCAGCTGTTTTAAAGAGTACCTGACCTCCCTTTATATTAATAGAACAATAATGTCATTGTTAGCTAATGAATGTTTCCATGCTGAACAACGGCAACATGACAACGTTTTCATTGGTCCCTCTTCTTTAGAGAAGACCAGGAAATGATGGATACACGGATCGTGTTCAAATCAATAGGCACGCAATGACTCTAAATAATAATGATCACGCCACCAAACACACATTCAAACTAAAGGAACCAGCCTGTTTGGGAAATGAGAGAAGTAGAAAGTAGAAAGTACAGGTATTTGAGTTCAACATGTAAGAAGTAGAAAGTACAGGTATTTGTGTTCAACATGTAAGAAGTAGAAAGTACAGGTATTTGTGTTCAACATGTAAGAAGTAGAAAGTACAGGTATTTGTGTTCAACATGTAAGAAGTAGAAAGTACAGGTATTTGTGTTCAACATGTAAGAAGTAGAAAGTACAGGTATTTGTGTTCAAAATGTAAGAAGTAGAAAGTACAGGTATTTGTGTTCAACATGTAAGAAGTAGAAAGTACAGGTATTTGTGTTCAACATGTAAGAAGTAGAAAGTTCAGGTATTTGGGTTCAACATGTAAGAAGTAGAAAGTACAGGTATTTGTGTTCAACATGTAAGAAGTAGAAAGTACAGGTATTTGTGTTCAACATGTGAGAAGTAGAAAGTACAGGTATTTGTGTTCAACATGTAAGAAGTAGAAAGTACAGGTATTTGTGTTCAACATGTAAGAAGTAGAAAGTACAGGTATTAGTGTTCAACATGTAAGAAGTCAAAGTAAAAAGTCATCAGGAAAATAAGTAGTGGAGAAAAGTACTGATACCAGAACAATGTACTGAACGAAGTATTTGTACTCCAGTACTTCCCACCTCTGTGTGTGACGATTATATATAATATATAAAATGTGTTTTGTTATAAATGTGTTTGTGTACCTCCAGCTCCAGCTCCTGCCTCTTCGGGTTGTGGACGAAAAAGGAGAAGCAATCCTCCCAAAGAGGCTCCTTGGTCTTATAGCGGATCTTTAAAGCAGACAGGAAGTCGTTCGTTAGTTAATCAGGAGAGAGAAAAGGCTAATTAACAACAGGATCTATTAATGGTACCTTTAACGACACGCAGACTGAGTATTTTCATTGGTTAAGTGCAGCTGAGTACTGATTTACTCCATGCTATGTTTAACAATATCAATGAGGGATATTTTGTAAAAACACAGAAGGGTTGTGGTCGCTTTGAGGCCTGATTCATGGTAGAGAAAATTGCATAAATACACATTAATTAAATAAAAATAGCTATACATAGTAAGCATCGGCATGGGCTTCAAATTAAAAAATCATGACTACAAATTATAATTATCTTATAAATTAGATTAGGGAAAACATATTTAAGTATAAATGCCTAAATAAATATAAGGATAATTTAATAAATAAAAAAGTTAATAAATAAATAAAATAATTAATTGATTAAGAAAAAAAGAAAAAAATGAATTAAAAATCATAACTTAATAATTAAATACACAAAGAAATGTAGTGTGTTGCCAAGCATGGAGGGCAACACAATTAAGTATAAATGCATGAAAAAATAAATAAATATATTCATAAATAAATAAAATAATCAATAAACGAATGAAAGATAAATGGAGAAATTAATTGAACAATCATAACTTAACGATACAAAAATCTAATAAAAAATGTTGAGTGTAAAAATGAATAAATGCATACAAAATAAATAAATAAATGCTGTAATAACTGGTTCTTGTTTCCCTTCTCATTAATATTTGTATTTCTTTGTGGATCTGATGTAAACTGCCACCCACGAGAAATGACTTATTGACGCAGCACAGAATCTCTCAAAGTGTCACTGCCAACATTTTTCCTATTATTTATTTTATTACAGTGCATGCTTGCAGTGAAACTCAAGCATCAACAATGTATCGGTCACCCAAAGGGCTCCTTCCTCTGAAAACATTCAATTTTGAAGTCAATATCAGACTATGAGAAATATGTGGTAAACTCTCAGCGTCAGTGTAGAAGCTCTAATGCCAACTTTTTATGGTATGTTGGAGGTTATAACACTCATTTTCTTGTAATCATACTTCTATTCACCGTCTTCAAATACCACAGACAAAGTGTTATCATAGAAATCTGGAGGGAAGGACGGTTATAGAATAAGATGTGCTGCACTTCAATAAGTCTTTGTGTGTTAAAAAATAACATGAATTCCTGCAAATAAACCGCTGTATTCAATCTTTAAAGGACAACTTGATATTAAAGCCTCACCTTGCTCTCCAGGGTTTTGTGTCCCACAGTGAATTGGACAAAAGGACTGGGCTCACTGCTACTCTTCTTTGCAGACTGTGAGAGAATCAGAGGAGGAACTATAAGACATAACGCACATCATATTTACAGCCAAACATTAGCTTAGCAGTTAGCACACAGTGGTTTCATCAAGCAGGGCTGCAGGCAGACAAGGAGACTGTAGAGCTTTTTAATTATAGCATGCTGGGTTTTATTCTGACTGCTTACAGAATAACAATATCTGCCAGACAGGAGCTTAACCTCTCTCTTTTACTTTAATTTGACGTCCTTCCCAGCAGTATTAGATTTAAGCTCCACATTGTACACTCAGGCGGATTAACACAAGTCCTCTCTATGATATGCTACCACTAAAGACCAGAAAACCCATTATAAATACAGTTGTACGGTGGCCAACAGGTGCAAAAACGCCCTATAACGTCTCAAAAAAACACAGCAGAAATGCGAAAATGTGAAAAATATTGTGTTTATATATATATATATTCGTACTTCTAGAATCCGTCTAAGTTAACGCTCTCTTAAACAAACATGTGAGCCTATTTGACTAATTACTTCCATATATTGCCCTTGTGCTGGCGTGTCTGTAACCATTGATGACACCTAATTTACATATCTTCTTTTAATTGGTGGAAGCAGACAAGCTGTGCAATTTATTTAATTGTTGGTTGACTTTTGGAAAGGCTAACACTGGTGTGTATCCAAATGTCAAAATTAGAGACGTCAACAACTGCAATATACGCAAACATTGTCTGAATCTTTGCTCTGAAAGACCTATTTAAGGAAGGATTTGGGTAGAAAAGACATCAAAACAGCTTCCAAGTATAGATGTAATTAAAGAACGCTGCACATTTTACAAAATGTACACATCAGGTTTATCTCAATTGGTGGAAAAAGAACCATACAGTTAGCCTAGCCACGTAGCTTTGCATTTAGGTCAACAAAGAGTGTATTATTGGATGTACTGTATGTTCCCTCTGAAACTAACACAATGCAGCAGTGAGTTCAGTGTGGACTGATGGGAGTGCCACTGCGTGTTTAACAATGGGAGCATTAAAAGTACCAGGAACTACTTAAAGGAAAGAATGAGCTGCACTGGACCGCTCTCTAAATCTAAGAAGACTTCCTGCTCCATTATCAGATCCTTAACCTGGCTGTGCTGCTATTCAGGTTTGCTGTATAAAACCTTTGACCTAATTCACTTCAAATGCAAGATAAATCACGTGTAAGGACATCTGGATATGCACACAGTGACCACAGTTTCAATACAGATAGTCGAGTGCAGTATTAGACGTTTGCATGCACGTTAGGAAAGATATAAAACCCCACAACAAGGACACAAAACAATGCAATCATCCACCTTCATGCTTACGTTTAAAAAAGGACTGATAATCGTGACAACCACATGACGCTGGACGGTGCACAGATGGGACTCAGGTGTGATCTGTGCATGCAAACCATGTTTCCCACGTTACCTTCAGCGCCTTAAAGACTGACACTTGCTTCAACCCGTCATAGGTGAAATCTGACAGGTTGCTCTTTAAGCCACGAGAGGGAGAAAATCACACCTATAGTTAGTAAGATGGCAGTGGTAGGGCGTGGTTTTGAGGGCATAAACCCAGGAAAACATGTGGAAATATGAAGGATATGGGTGATCAATAAAGAGCTGCTGCTGTGGACTCTGCAGGGAGCGAAGGATGAAAACAGAATAATGAGGAATCTCCTTGGGGGATCTTTTGGAGGAGCTACTTGTGGCCTTTTCAGCCTGCAGGCGCTCTGTATCTGTGCAGCGACATAATAATTGGCTCGCTAATGCAGACAGAGATCCTGATGAGCTCTGCCAGCGGCTCTTTGTTCAGCAGATACTGTAAATCACAGCCTCACACTAAACAGTATCTGACTAACAAGCTGGCTTTAGAAGTGGAAGCTAGTGTTAATGGTTATCTGGCACTCGAACCGTGCAGCTAACACATGCTGTAAGATGCAGGTTTTGAAACTCTCAAACCCACGTCAGCGCACACCGCTAATGCTAACACTAGCAGGATGCACAACTCACAAATATGGTTCTATACTCGGAGGTATTGCTCTCATAAAAGACTAGCCCCGACGCTCTCCTCTCACTTAAGTTCCCGCACCCTAAGCTGCCCGAGAAGACGCTCTTTAGGTGGAGAAGAAGGAGGGTGGAGACAGAAAGGTGGAGTTATGAGATGGAGGGTTCTTCACAGGTAGCTTTAAAGACATTTGGTGCAATAGAGTGGTGCGGTGTTTGTGTAGGAAGACCTGGAAGTTAGCATCACAAGGACTCTTGCTACAAAAAGCCGTGTGATTTTGTATTATTGCAGAAAATAATATCAATGTTTATGATACTTAAACGTCACCACACATGACTATCACCGCTAAGCTAAAGGCGGCTAATGTTGGGCTATAAAGGAACTACAGCATGGTCACATGACTTCACGTCACCACCGCTAAGCTAAAGGTGGCTAATGTTGGGCTATAAAGGAACTACAGCATGGTCACATGACTTCACGTCACCACCGCTAAGCTAAAGGAGGCTAATGTTGGGCTATAAAGGAACTACAGCACGGTCACATGACTTCACGTCACCACCGCTAAGCTAAAGGTGGCTAATGTTGGGCTATAAAGGAACTACAGCTCGGTCACATGACTTCACGTCACCACCGCTAAGCTAAAGGAGGCTAATGTTGGGCTATAAAGGAACTACAGCACGGTCACATGACTTCACGTCACCACCGCTAAGCTAAAGGTGGCTAATGTTGGGCTATAAAGGAACTACAGCACGGTCACATGACTTCACGTCACCACCGCTAAGCTAAAGGTGGCTAATGTTGGGCTATAAAGGAACTACAGCACGGTCACATGACTTCACGTCACCACCGCTAAGCTACAGGTGGCTAATGTTGGGCTATAAAGGAACTACAGCACGGTCACATGACTTCACGTCACCACCGCTAAGCTAAAGGTGGCTAATGTTGGGCTATAAAGGAACTACAGCACGGTCACATGACTTCACGTCACCACAGCTAAGCTAAAGGTGGCTAATGTTGGGCTATAAAGGAACTACAGCACGGTCACATGACTTCACGTCACCACCGCTAAGCTAAAGGTGGCTAATGTTGGGCTATAAAGGAACTACAGCTCGGTCACATGACTTCACGTCACCACCGCTAAGCTAAAGGTGGCTAATGTTGGACTTTCAAAACACTGTCGTGCTAAAATGCTAAAAGGCTTTAGGTCTCATTCCTGCACGGGTCTATAAAAAGCATTCAAATAGCATTAGATAACCTTAAAAGAGAACATTTGACACATTTTATGTAGACTTCCAATCAGTGTTTCTGAATAATATAGTGGATAGAGATTATGTAATTGGAGGGAATGAATAAATAAAAACTACTTTAGCTTGTATTTCTCTAAACTTTCTAGTACTTTTTGCTTGTTTTCCTAACTAGTTATGCAGTCCACCAAATCCCATATGAGTGTGAAGGATGCTTAATATGAAGGTCCATTGTTCTGTCTGACTCAGCTGTATGTATTGATACGTCAACACTGTTTGGAAGTCCACGTAAAATATGCTAACATTTCAAGGTCTGCCAACAGCCACATAAATATTGACCCTGAGTTTAAATGAATTAATCGTTTAAAATCGTTAAACCTGTTTGCCGCTTGAAGTTACATTCATAAAAATCAGATAGCGGTAGCGGAGATAATGAGGAAGATAATAAAAGCCCTGTTTGTTACAGTCGGTTCACCTGGAGGTCAAAGAGCAACACATTCAAAAGAAAGCAAACAGATGAGATCACTGAAGCATTTTAACAGTAAGGAACGCTGCTGCACACTGACCAATAATCCATATGTAAACACGTGTGCAAAGCTGGTTCTTCCCACCAAACTGGTTCAGAGAGTAGCTAGATGTGGTGTGTGTGTGTGTGTGTGTGTGTGTGTGTGTGTGTGTGTGTTAAAGAGACCAAGAAGCCTGCAAAGGACTAATGAGATTAGAGCGTAATTGCGTGTGTGTGTGGTGTGTGTGTGTGTGTGTGTGTGTGTGTGTGTGTGTGTGTGTGTGTGTGTGTGTGTGTGTGTGTGTGTGTGTGTGTGTGTGTGTATGTGTGTATGTGTGTGCACAATAGCACTGCTAGTTTCAGAATAAAGCAAACACTGTATTTTCTTACAGGTAAGTTCTTCGCTGAGTCCAGATAAACGACCAGTAGTGCTGACGACAGCCCGTCATTGGCTAAGCTCCTGTCTGCTCGCACACTTCTCAGCACCTGATTGGACGGGAGAAGGAAGTTACCACAGGGGAAAAAGATGGCAGACAGTATTTGTACTCTGTTTAAAGCGAGAATAATTGTACCTTATCCAGCTTCTCAGGCGTGGCGAGCAGAGACAGCCACTCTAGTTTTAAGTGGAGTTTCCCAGTGGGAGCTTCTTCCAGGTCAAACCACTATAACAGTGACACAAAGAATAGATTTGAGCAGCCACTCTTTCCTTTAAGAAAGTAAATAATATAAGTGCTATCACAGAGTCGGCTGTACCTCATCGACCTTCTGTTCTTTGTGCAGCTCCGTCATATCGATCATCAGGCTGTGAATGATGACACATAATTACTGGGATTTGTTCGGTAAGGAGTAAGGAGAGAAATCCCATCGATTGATCCGAACACAGGAGGTCCAGATATCGATCGGATGCAACTCGGGGTGCAACGTTACAGCCTCGAGGCTAAATCTATTGACCTTGTCCATGTGGTGGGGAAACACCTCCTTTTACTTTAAACTGCTAACACTTCTCCCTGTAAACCATGGAGATACGACACTCTTTGAAAAGGTCAAATACAATTTTCCATCACTGAAAACTCACCTGTTTCGACTGCATCTTACACACACATCCTTTACTCAAGTAGAAGTACACACATCCTTTACTCAAGTAGAAGTACAGATACTAGTGTTTAAAAATACTCTGGTGAAAGTAGAAGTACTGACTAAACTTCTTTACTCAAGTGAAAGTAAAGAGGCTTTGAAATGTACTTCAGTAAAAAGTACCCATAACTAGCAGCTGTTTTAAAGAGTACCTGACCTCCCTTTATATTAATAGAACAATAATGTCATTGTTAGCTAATGAATGTTTCCATGCTGAACAACGGCAACATGACAACGTTTTCATTGGTCCCTCTTCTTTAGAGAAGACCAGGAAATGATGGATACACGGATCGTGTTCAAATCAATAGGCACGCAATGACTCTAAATAATAATGATCACGCCACCAAACACACATTCAAACTAAAGGAACCAGCCTGTTTGGGAAATGTGAGAAGTAGAAAGTACAGGTATTTGTGTTCAACATGTAAGAAGTAGAAAGTACAGGTATTTGGGTTCAACATGTAAGAAGTAGAAAGTACAGGTATTTGTGTTCAACATGTAAGAAGTAGAAAGTACAGGTACTTGTGTTCAACATGTAAGAAGTAGAAAGTACAGGTATTTGGGTTCAACATGTAAGAAGTAGAAAGTACAGGTATTTGTGTTCAACATGTAAGAAGTAGAAAGTACAGGTATTTGTGTTCAACATGTAAGAAGTAGAAAGTACAGGTATTTGTGTTCAAAATGTAAGAAGTAGAAAGTACAGGTATTTGGGTTCAACATGTAAGAAGTAGAAAGTACAGGTATTTGAGTTCAACATGTAAGAAGTAGAAAGTACAGGTATTTGTGTTCAACATGTAAGAAGTAGAAAGTACAGGTATTTGTGTTCAAAATGTAAGAAGTAGAAAGTACAGGTATTTGTGTTCAACATGTAAGAAGTAGAAAGTACAGGTATTTGGGTTCAACATGTAAGAAGTAGAAAGTACAGGTATTTGTGTTCAACATGTAAGAAGTAGAAAGTACAGGTATTTGTGTTCAACATGTAAGAAGTAGAAAGTACAGGTATTTGGGTTCAACATGTAAGAAGTAGAAAGTACAGGTATTTGGGTTCAACATGTAAGAAGTAGAAAGTACAGGTATTTGGGTTCAAAATGTAAAAAGTCAAAGGAAAAATAAGTAGTGGAGTAAAGTACTGAAGTACAGTAACAAAGTATTTGTACTCCACTACTTCCCACCTCTGCACTTGGGTGGCTTTAAGTGAAGGTAATGCACCTAATCCAGTTGGGTTTATAGAGAGTAAATGTACCTTCAGGATCATGGTTGAATGCACTTATTGTACTTGGCTTTGGATAGAAGCTACAGCTAAATGTCATGTACTGTACCAGAAGTTATAAACCCTAGTATTTGAATCACATATTGACCTTTGTATCTTGCCTTTATGAAACTCCTCTCGTCTCCAAAATGTCAAACATTTTCTGGCTCGTTAGCAGACTAATAATCAGTGTAAGTGCATGTTCTCCGTTTGGAAAGGGACCAGCAGTCGGTCGATAGATATCACTATTCTAAGGGTGCAAAAGGACGTTTTTTTAACTCATGAAGTAAGTGTAAGATGGAAGGAAATGAGAGGAACTCACCTTCCCAGGAAGTCATCTTTGTCAGGATCCTCGTCAAAGAGCTCGATCTCAAGGTGTTGCCCCGAGTGCTCGTACACCAGAGCCTGAAAGAGAAAAGGACTTATTGGTGCTAGTTCTACAAAGTCATATACTGTAGACGTAGATAGATAGATAGATAGTTGTGTCGTTCATTTTTCTTTTATATTAAACCAATTTTTCCCATTTGGACTCAAAGTTCCCTTCCTGGACCCTCAATATGTTCGTGAATCTTTCCATATCAAATATTTCCTGAACGGTCTCAGGGGTTTTCTGTTTCGGTCTTATCATGTCGTTGTGTATTTTGGTTTATCTGTGTCATTGCTATTACTGTAATGGTCTTTTTATGTTATTATTATCATTATTGTTTTGCCATAATTGTTTTTTTGAATTATTTTGTCTATAGCACCTGCATCTGTACTCTGTATTTTCTCCTGTTATTGTGTTATGTTTGAGAAAAAACAATAAATAAAGTGTTAAAAATATATATATATGTCCTGTACTTCTCAACAAGGTCATTTTTAACCATCCGTGTCTCTATTTCAGGACGCTTCACCTCGTAAACCTCGTTCCACTTCGGGTTGAGGCTCTCCTTCACAGCCTTGCTCTGGAACAGCTGGTTCCCGATCTGCAGGACTCCGTACGGGTCGGACTTTCCCTTTATCAGACCCCCCAAAAACGTGTCCTTCCCCTCCAGATCCTGAGCCTCCAGGAAGTGGATCCTCAGGACCCCCTGTGGAGAAACACAGCACAAAAAAACCCCACTGAAATGGAAGCTGCTGACACTTCGAGGCCACTTTACATACTGAGTTTCATGAGGTAATGCAAGAGTGTATATCAGTATGTAGTGTCTCTACTTTAAAGAGTCCTCTCCTGCTGATGTTCAGGTGTATATCAGTATGTAGTGTCTCTACTTTAAAGAGTCCTCTCCTGCTGATGCTCAGGTGTATATCAGTATGTAGTGTCTCTACTTTAAAGAGTCCTCTCCTGCTGATGCTCAGGTGTATATCAGTATGTAGTGTCTCTACTTTAAAGAGTCTTCTCCTGCTGATGCTCAGGTGTATATCAGTATGTAGTGTCTCTACTTTAAAGAGTCCTCTCCTGCTGATGCTCAGGTGTATATCAGTATGTAGTGTCTCTACTTTAAAGAGTCCTCTCCTGCTGATGCTCAGGTGTATATCAGTATGTAGTGTCTCTACTTTAAAGAGTCCTCTCCTGCTGATGTTCAGGTGTATATCAGTGTCTTCATGGATGAGTTAGATCTGTTTCTATGCTGTGATTTACCCACAAAACCCTCATAACTTCTTTATTTATTTTACATAAAACACAAACAGACCCCACGAGATGTACGATAAAACACTTTAAGCCACTAAACAAGAATTCCCCGAAGAAGCACTGAGCGTTTCAACTAACCGAGATAAAAGAGGTATATTGTAAACACTTCATCCGTCAAAATATATATAAATATTCAAAATAAAGCAGTACATCTGATGCTGGAGGGGTTGTGGATCGGTGGGGAATTCACACACATATATATTTGCTTTTAATGTCGTAAGGATGATGACAGTTTCCTGGCTGCACCTCATTATTTCACTGTCTTTCTGTTTTATTTGGATTATACCATTAAGCAAAAATTACAGGTATATTATATTCAATTAATTGATGCTAAGGGAAGGACAATCATAAACACCAATGGAGATGTATGTCCAAAAAATGTCAAGGAATAATGCATCAGAATCAGAATACCTTTATACGTCCAACAGAGAGGACATGTGCATTTGTTACAGCAGAAAAGAGCCAAAGACAGCTTAATGTCAACTAAGAAGCATGCATAACAAAACATGTAAAACTGGGGTACAACAAGTGTGATTGTTTGAGCATCTTCTCATTGAATTAGTCTGTAAAAAAGAGGCGTATGTATCCTACCTTTGGCATGGGGAAGCGCAGTTTTGCCAGCTCCACGTCCCCCACCAGTGGGATTGTGATGCGATTGGGTAAAACCAGATAGCTGTAGATAATGTCTTGAATGAGGTTGTCAGAGAAGCCCCTGTGAGTGTTGGGAAGAACACAAACACAGAGAGAAAGCAGTGAATTATTTAACAGACAGAAAAGGGCGCCCTTGGGTTATAAATATTCTCTTTTAATCTCAAGCTTAGTACGGAGCACTTCTGATTTACATGCAAGGAGGAAAATTGGAGTCGGTTCAAGCATGTGACAGCTGAGAGCCAACCACTCTCTGTGTGTGTGTGTGTGTGTGTGTGTGTGTGTGTGTGTGTGTGTGTGTGTGTGTGTGTGTGTGTGTGTGTGTGTGTGTGTGTGTCACCTTTTTGTCATTGCACTCTGAAGACTGTGTTAAAATGTATTTTCCTTAATTGGGCCGATCTCTTCTTCGGTTTTCTGCACTCACATCCACTGTGTGTCTGTGTGTGTGTGTGTCTGTGTGTGTGTGTGTGTGTGTGTGTGTGTGTGTGTGTGTGTGTCTGTGTCTGTGTCCACTAATGATTCAGTGACAGTGAAGGCATCTAACACAGGCTCTCCTTTTTATTTTTATTAATTTAGCCGCCGCGGCACAGCTGGAAAATTGCAATCATGGCACGAAAAAAAAAATCTAATTACGGAGAAAATTCATCCTCATCTTCTGGAGGATATTGGATATTGCTCAGGCTGTCCCTCCAAGGGAATACAGTGGAGCTGTCCATTTATCACAACAACAACAACAGGGTTTTTAGCACAGATTAAGGAAGTATACTGCCTCAAGTATCAATTAGGTTTTGTTCTTTACAGAGAACAGAATAGAAAAACCTTAAAAAAACTATTTACGGTTTATAAAAACATTTTTGAACGTCAGCGTGATGCGAGGAAACTTCTCTCTGAACGATTTACTTCCTATTCATTTTTTTTTAAATTACTATTAAATGTCTCATCCTATGTGTTTCCAGGTTATAGTAATCTATATTCTATAATAATCGATATCTGTAAGAGTCCAAAATCACACATTAAGTATACACAGATACATCTGATTGATTAGCTGACTGGCTCTGTTGTGATTGGTCAACCGCTTAGAGATGTCCCGCCCCTTAGCTTATCACGTGTTGACGTTCCGTAGTGATGTCAATATGTGGAAATTCAGCCTTTGCAGACCATTTACATGCACTAAAACCTACAGTAGACACTACAGGAGAGGGAGAACCACAACAAGCAGAATATAGCCTCTCTAAATCCGCTCGAAAGTGTCTATTTGGACATTTTGGATGCCTCTACTATCGAATTCTCCTAATTAGGAGTGATCTACTCTCTGCAGAAACAGCTAAATCTACAAAATACACACCTTTGGACGCTTTCTAAAACAGCAGACCTGATGTATTGGTCCCATGTGTTCTGTAATGGTCCACTAGTGCAGTTTCTTGGTGGCAGTCTGTGTGTAATTGGGATTATAAATATAGAAACTCCTCACCTGGGTGGCTTGTTGAATTAGGTCGAGGATGCTTATTAGTTGGCATGTTCCAAACCCAGAACATGCCCTTAAATACTGATGAGTTACTCTGCACACCAGCCAGAAACTTTGTGACATTTTGGAGAAAAGTGGAGTTCGCTGGAGTATTGATTCAAATACCAGGGGGTTTGAAATCACTGCAGTAAATTAAGTCCTTCCCAAATGAAGCAATGCATGATGTATATTGTGAGTATATGATTATCTATGTGGAATAAGAGCTTTTTGAACATTAATGCATGGAGATATGTCACATTGGATACGTCACCTAAATACTAATTTCAACCTGAAAATGAGCTCTTTTGAAGGCAGAAACGACTAAACAACACAAATTACGCGGATGCAATAATCTTAATTAAGCCTGCTGTGTTTGTGTCTGTCTGGAGAAACATTCAGTTGAACAATAAAGCTGATTATTTTCCGTGGAAACGGCTCTTCCCTGTGAGCCGATTGCATTCTCTGGTGGGGGGCTGTAAAGGGATTTCTGCAGCATCAGCGCTTATTGCTGCATTTTTCACTGGCGTAAACACTGGAAGAACCCACAAACCCACAAACCTGCCTGCAAGCTGTACAAAAAGTGGGTTTCTTTGTTTCTTTATTTCAGGGCTCTGTCTGAAAACACTTGATAATGTGATGCTGTGTTCACATCCTCCTCTAACAGACAGCTGTGCTTCTAGCGATGCTTCCAGTGTGTCTCTAGAGAAGTCTGTCAATGCACCACAGACTGAAATATCATAACAACTATTGGATGGAGCTTTTCTACAGATCTTCTTGGATCATTGACGATGAATTTAAATTACTTTCTGATCCCCCTGACCGGTCCAGTGGCGCCACCATGACTGGACATTTCTCTAAAACTATTGATCGCCAAGAAAGATTGCTGCAGGGATGATTTATTCTGAAGAAGGCCAACAATACACAGAACGCCAATGAGTTAGAAAGGAACTACAGCACGGTCACATGACTTCACGTCACCACCGCTAAGCTAAAGGAGGCTAATGTTGGGCTATAAAGGAACTACAGCACGGTCACATGACTTCACGTCACCACCGCTAAGCTAAAGACGGCTAATGTTGGGCTATAAAGGAACTACAGCACGGTCACATGACTTCACATCACCACCGCTAAGCTAAAGGAGGCTAATGTTGGGCTATAAAGGAACTACAGCACGGTCACATGACTTCACGTCACCACCGCTAAGCTAAAGGAGGCTAATGTTGGGCTATAAAGGAACTACAGCACGGTCACATGACTTCACGTCACCACCGCTAAGCTAAAGGAGGCTAATGTTGGGCTATAAAGGAACTACAGCACGGTCACATGACTTCACGTCACCACCGCTAAGCTAAAGGAGGCTAATGTTGGGCTATAAAGGAACTACAGCACGGTCACATGACTTCACGTTACCACCGCTAAGCTAAAGGAGGCTAATGTTGGGCTATAAAGGAACTACAGCACGGTCACATGACTTCACATCACCACCGCTAAGCTAAAGGAGGCTAATGTTGGGCTATAAAGGAACTACAGCACGGTCACATGACTTCACGTCACCACCGCTAAGCTAAAGGAGGCCAATGTTGGGCTATAAAGGAACTACAGCACGGTCACATGACTTCACGTCACCACCGCTAACCTAAAGGAGGCTAATGTTGGGCTATAAAGGAACTACAGCACGGTCACATGACTTCACGTCACCACCGCTAAGCTAAAGGAGGCTAATGTTGGGCTATAAAGGAACTACAGCACGGTCACATGACTTCACGTCACCACAGCTAAGCTAAAGGAGGCTAATGTTGGGCTATAAAGGAACTACAGCACGGTCACATGACTTCACGTTACCACCGCTAAGCTAAAGGAGGCTAATGTTGGGCTATAAAGGAACTACAGCACGGTCACATGACTTCACATCACCACCGCTAAGCTAAAGGAGGCTAATGTTGGGCTATAAAGGAACTACAGCACGGTCACATGACTTCACGTTACCACCGCTAAGCTAAAGGAGGCTAATGTTGGGCTATAAAGGAACTACAGCACGGTCACATGACTTCACGTCACCACCGCTAAGCTAAAGGCGGCTAATGTTGGGCTATAAAGGAACTACAGCACGGTCACATGACTTCACGTCACCACCGCTAAGCTAAAGGAGGCTAATGTTGGGCTATAAAGGAACTACAGCACGGTCACATGACTTCACGTCACCACCGCTAAGCTAAAGGAGGCCAATGTTGGGCTATAAAGGAACTACAGCACGGTCACATGACTTGTTAGCCTTAGCATTTGATCCTTGGATCAGACTCACAGAGCTAGTCTTGTTTTTAATCATATTTTGAAACCATCACAACACCTTTGACCCATTACCAGATGTAAACAAGTCGGACACGTGTTGCGTAATGAATGATCCCAACAGAGATTATTGTCGGTGAGTCACTGGGCGAGCCTTTAAGTGAGCAGCTGATGCTGTCTGTCCATCTGATGCATTCAAGGAACTCCGTCTCTGCAGATATGATTTCACCATCTGGGCGTCACACACCCATTCACACAAGCACATGTCACAGCACATGCTACATGGATCTATTTCACCCCCACGGAGAGCTGGGAAGTATTGGAGTACAAATACTTTGTTACTGTACTTAAGTACATTTTTCTGGTATCAGTACTTTACTCCACTACTTATTTTTCTGAAGACTTTTACTTCTTACATTTTGAACACAAATACCTGTACTTTCTACTTCTTACATGTTGAACCCAAATACCTGTACTTTCTACTTCTTACATGTTGAACTCAAATACCTGTACTTTCTACTTCTTACATGTTGAACACAAATACCTGTACTTTCTACTTCTTACATGTTGAACACAAATACCTGTACTTTCTACTTCTTACATGTTGAACACAAATACCTGTACTTTCTACTTCTCACATTTCCCAAACAGGCTGGTTCCTTTAGTTTGAATGTGTGTTTGGTGGCGTGATCATTATTATTTAGAGTCATTGCGTGCCTATTGATTTGAACACGATCCGTGTATCCATCATTTCCTGGTCTTCTCTAAAGAAGAGGGACCAATGAAAACGTTGTCATGTTGCCGTTGTTCAGCATGGAAACATTCATTAGCTAACAATGACATTATTGTTCTATTAATATAAAGGGAGGTCAGGTACTCTTTAAAACAGCTGGTACTTTTTACTGAAGTACATTTCAAAGCCCTCTTTACTTTTACTTGAGTAAAGAAGTTTAGTCAGTACTTCTACTTTTACCAGAGTACTTTTAAACACGAGTATCTGTACTTCTACTTGAGTAAAGGATGTGTGTACTTTCTCCATCTCTGCCCACGGAGGAATCAACAACAGAAGACCTGACAGAGACGTATGCAGCATTAATCCAATAAATTCACATGCAGCATTCATGCACTTTATTTGGCGTGTAAATAATGCATGAACCAATCAGCTGGCGGTAATTGTGCTGGGATGTTAGCATCTCTTAATCGACTCTCATTTGGTGTCTTTTGCTCAGCCCACACAAACACCCCAGGGGGCGAAAAGCCACTTCATTTAATCGAGATAAAGTGAGCAGGAACGAGGAAACCACATCACTCAGGCTGATTATTCACAGTGTTTGTGTACTGCGATGCAAACGTCACACACATAGGAAGAAATGCATCTTGAGAGCAGAGCAGGAGTTTCAATATATTAACTCAGGGGATTTGTTGCAAGAGTGACAAGGACAAGGACATCCTAGCAGGTAAAAACACCATTAGCATGGACTCTCAGTGGCAGGATCCAGTGGAAAAACACTTATAAAACCCATTGAAAGAACCAGTATGTGTTTTCAGTATCTCGGTGCAAAAATCATTCCTTATTTATGCATGACCTTATCGTGCATCCACTAAACCCACAGACATGATATTGGTTTTCCTAAAGAGCTGATTTTAATTTGCATTTCTGAAAGGTCAAATGGTAAAACAATTTAAAATGAATGGTATTTTTATGGTTGCAGTTTCACAGCTGTGTCCAACTTCCTGAAACCTAACACTGCAAATCTCCTCCTTGTTTTTCTATTTCTCTCCAACACAAGACAACAAAGACAGATTGTATTTCTTACTTGAGCCCAGGAATGTCCAGAATATTGGTGAGGCCGGTCCAGTTTATGTCCACCAGCTGAGAAACAGAACAAAGGCAAGATTAAATTACTTTAAATTGATCAAACGCCTTCCTTTTATAGCGTCCTTCGCCCCTTGTGCTTCACTTTTAAGACGTTATCCTGGCCAACAAACCCTGCTGATTAATTAGAGCAGACGTAAAGTCCTTAGAAAATAAATAAAAAGTTGTGGGGAAAAGTTTCTTCAGAGAACAAAGCCGTAACTCTGTTTAAAATGTGTGACTTATCTCACTGCACACCATGGTGGGAACGGATGTAAATACATACAATTAGTTTGGTCGCTGCAGCTTCTTAGTGTTTAAAAGCTGTGTGCACAAATATTAAGAAACAACCAGAGACCAGAAAGTAGACACCTTTGTATGGAAATGAATGCAGAAACAACTGCTTATTAAAATATATTATTAAGAAGCAGTAGAAGGGCTTATTAGTTTCCAGAGGATAATGAGATAAGGGCTTGGGAGGTTACAGATTACAGGATTATGGAAACACGATACAACATTTGAGATCTTATTACTGTGAGTTTTGGACATTAAAGCACGGAAACAAGTTACAGTAGAGACACTAGGAGAGGACTCTTTAAAGTAGAGACACTACATACTGATATACACCTGAACATCAGCAGGAGAGGACTCTTTAAAGTAGAGACACTACATACTGATACACACCTGAACATCAGCAGGAGAGGACTCTTTAAAGTAGAGACACTACATACTGATATACACCTGAACATCAGCAGGAGAGGACTCTTTAAAGTAGAGGCACTACATACTGATATACACCTGAACATCAGCAGGAGAGGACTCTTTAAAGTAGAGACACTACATACTGATATACACCTGAACATCAGCAGGAGAGGACTCTTTAAAGTAGAGACACTACATACTGATATACACCTGAACATCAGCAGGAGAGGACTCTTTAAAGTAGAGACACTACATACTGATATACACCTGAACATCAGCAGGAGAGGACTCTTTAAAGTAGAGGCACTACATACTGATATACACCTGAACATCAGCAGGAGAGGACTCTTTAAAGTAGAGACACTACATACTGATATACACCTGAACATCAGCAGGAGAGGACTCTTTAAAGTAGAGACACTACATACTGATATACACCTGAACATCAGCAGGAGAGGACTCTTTAAAGTAGAGGCACTACATACTGATATACACCTGAACATCAGCAGGAGAGGACTCTTTAAAGTAGAGACACTACATACTGATATACACCTGAACATCAGCAGGAGAGGACTCTTTAAAGTAGAGACACTACATACTGATATACACCTGAACATCAGCAGGAGAGGACTCTTTAAAGTAGAGACACTACATACTGATATACACCTGAACATCAGCAGGAGAGGACTCTTTAAAGTAGAGACACTACATACTGATATACACCTGAACATCAGCAGGAGAGGACTCTTTAAAGTAGAGACACTACATACTGATATACACCTGAACATCAGCAGGAGAGGACTCTTTAAAGTAGAGACACTACATACTGATATACACCCAAGGGTTAAGTTGGGATTTGATATGTGGGGGGGCTCTGTATGGAGGTGCGAGAGGGGGGCGGAGGTCGAGGATCTCATTATTTGACCTTAAGGGATATACACTGTGGCCCTAAAGCAACTGCTCCATTATCTGTATCAAATGCACACATTGATGCCACCAAATGTCACAATAAAAATAGAAAGTACTACAAATAAACTGGAATTAATTTACATCTTAAATTATTAATATATATACACAAAAAAAGGTTTACAAATATCCAACCTTCAAATTCCTTTTTGAACTCAACAGTGCTCTGCACACTTGCTAAAGAACATTTGTGTGGAAATCTCAATTCATTTGTAGGGCTGCGTGAGTATGGCCAAAAGTATGGGAGTAAATCTCACTGTAAACTATTTAATCATCACCAAATTCTGTGTTATTATGACCGATCATAACTCAGCTTTATGCAGACATACATTTAGCATGGTGTACAGGGCCGGTTTTTGGCATAGGCGACATAGGCGGTCGCCTAGGGCGCCAGATCTGGGGGGGAAAAAACCCTTTTTGACTGTTTGCGCTCATCCTAATTTTCAGCCTTGATGTAACAACATTCATAATTAAGTAAAGATAGCACCCTTTTCACCCCGGTTACACTTTTCATTCTCCCTGTACGATGGGCGCTGTAAGTGATGAAATGGGGGGTGTTGGCTTATCAGGCGCCCGCAGCTCACAGGCAAAGTGGGCGTGGGAGCGAGCGAGAGAGATAAATGCAATTTATGTAAACACATATTTCCAAGGCACTCCTTTATAATTATTTGGATAAACAGGTTTGAAATCATTTCAATGTATACTATAGGACAGTAAACCAAAAATATCGTTTAAAACTGGAGAGATATAAAAATATGCATAAATAAATGTTAACTGGTAAAATAAGATATGAATGAACAACACAAATAAAAGTTACATTTATTTGTTATTGGCTATGGTAGGTTATTGGTTATGTTCATATATTTGGTTATTAAAATGTAAACCGATCTTTTTCATATGGGTGTTTAGAGTTGTACCCCCTAGATCAGGTCTCTAGTAATGTGTGCTTAAAGTGCAACAGATTGAAGCATTTTACTTTACATTTTCAAACATTTCTTCACACACACACACACACACACACACACACACACACACACACACACACACACACACACACACACACACACACACACACACACACACACACACACACACACACACACACACACACACACACACACACACACACACACACACACACACACACACACACACACACACACACACACACACACACACACACACACACACACACACACACCGCTGCAGACTCTGCACGAAGGAGCCGCGGTGCTGCAGCTCCTGATCAGAGCAGAGACACACGTTCACTAAGCGGAAAAACTATATCATGTCACAGAGATCTGCTATTTTAAAGTAAAGTCAACACATATCGACCCTAAATAAAGTCTATATTAAGAACGAGAGATGGTTTAACATATGGCTTAAACAAATGACAAATGAGCGAGGGTGATGACGTCAGAGCATCGTCCTATGTGCCCCGGCCCAATTTAACCCCTGTACACACCTGAACATCAGCAGGAGAGGACTCTTTAAAGTAGAGACATTACACACTGATATACACCTGAACATCAGCAGGAGAGGACTCTTTAAAGTAGAGACACTACATACTGATATACACCTGAACATCAGCAGGAGAGGACTCTTTAAAGTAGAGACACTACATACCGATATACACCTGAACATCAGCAGGAGAGGACTCTTTAAAGTAGAGACACTACATACTGATATACACCTGAACATCAGCAGGAGAGGACTCTTTAAAGTAGAGACACTACATACTGATATACACCTGAACATCAGCAGGAGAGGACTCTTTAAAGTAGAGACACTACATACTGATATACACCTGAACATCAGCAGGAGAGGACTCTTTAAAGTAGAGACACTACATACTGATATACACCTGAACATCAGCAGGAGAGGACTCTTTAAAGTAGAGACACTACATACTGATATACACCTGAACATCAGCAGGAGAGGACTCTTTAAAGTAGAGACACTACATACTGATATACACCTGAACATCAGCAGGAGAGGACTCTTTAAAGTAGAGACACTACATACTGATATACACCTGAACATCAGCAGGAGAGGACTCTTTAAAGTAGAGACACTACATACTGATATACACCTGAACATCAGCAGGAGAGGACTCTTTAAAGTAGAGACACTACGTACTGATATACACCTGAACATCAGCAGGAGAGGACTCTTTAAAGTAGAGACACTACATACTGATATACACCTGAACATCAGCAGGAGAGGACTCTTTAAAGTAGAGACACTACATACTGATATACACCTGAACATCAGCAGAAGAGGACTCTTTAAAGTAGAGACACTACATACTGATATACACCTGAACATCAGCAGGAGAGGACTCTTTAAAGTAGAGACACTACATACTGATATACACCTGAACATCAGCAGGAGAGGACTCTTTAAAGTAGAGACACTACATACTGATATACACCTGAACATCAGCAGGAGAGGACTCTTTAAAGTAGAGACACTACATACTGATATACACCTGAACATCAGCAGGAGAGGACTCTTTAAAGTAGAGACACTACATACTGATATACACCTGAACATCAGCAGGAGAGGACTCTTTAAAGTAGAGACACTACACACTGATATACACCTGAACATCAGCAGGAGAGGACTCTTTAAAGTAGAGACACTACATACTGATATACACCTGAACATCAGCAGGAGAGGACTCTTTAAAGTAGAGACACTACATACTGATATACACCTGAACATCAGCAGGAGAGGACTCTTTAAAGTAGAGACACTACATACTGATATACACCTGAACATCAGCAGGAGAGGACTCTTTAAAGTAGAGACACTACATACTGATATACACCTGAACATCAGCAGGAGAGGACTCTTTAAAGTAGAGACACTACATACTGATATACACCTGAACATCAGCAGGAGAGGACTCTTTAAAGTAGAGACACTACATACTGATATACACCTGAACATCAGCAGGAGAGGACTCTTTAAAGTAGAGACACTACATACTGATATACACCTGAACATCAGCAGGAGAGGACTCTTTAAAGTAGAGACACTACGTACTGATATACACCTGAACATCAGCAGGAGAGGACTCTTTAAAGTAGAGACACTACATACTGATATACACCTGAACATCAGCAGGAGAGGACTCTTTAAAGTAGAGACACTACACACTGATATACACCTGAACATCAGCAGGAGAGGACTGCAAAATCAGATGTTTGTTGTTTTGATGTCAGTCAATGTTGATTTTTCAGATTAGTTTACTGATTAAATTGTATTACATGTAATTGTCATGGATTTTTAAAGTAATCCTCCCAAACTCATGTCGAAACACTTTTTATTAACAGTGTTCTAGA